TCATGCAAGGGTTTTTATTTGGAAATATTTAACGAAACCAATGCTATATGAGGATATATAGCAAAACCTCGATTCAGTCGAATCAGCATACCAAATGTCACATGCAGTGTTCCGAGTGTATTTGAACATGCAGCACGTAAATGTGTGAGGCGCAAACGAATAGTACAACTATTTGATGCTGCCAAGAGAATACATCTTAGAGCTTTTCAGATGTCTGTAGCTGTTGACATTTGAAGAAAAGCTATCTAGTCGTATTCGTGTCACTTTGGAAGAAAATTAACCCTAAATGAACACAAATGCAGCAAATGTATATCATGTAGCACAAATTGCAGCATCATAAACACGCACTTAACACGCAGTAGTATAATATTTGCAGCCTGTACGTAATAATGCTGTTTATGTGTCTGTTACTGTTCCCCGTGTTCAAAGAACCGTTATTTATACTAAACTAGCATCGCTGTTTGATGACTTCGACCCATCGGAGAGGTCATTCCGATCAGTGCGTTTACATATGAATCAAGTCAGTGACACTTGTTAAGCCATATTAGCCAGTGTGCTAACTTACCGATCAATGAGAATGTCTGGTATACTGATTTTCATTCTATATATGCAATAAAAACTTGGTTTATTGTTTCCGTATTGCCCACAGTGGATAAAATAGAATAGCTAAATGAATGCATTTGTCCATATTGAACTACATCCTCTAGAAGTGATGTCCGCATTACGCTAAATGAGTACAGCAAGGAGATTAGGTGTAAAATTATGACATGAACGTAAAAACGCCCAAGTATTATTTATCCTTTTATGTTTTAAGGTTTTTCTTCTTATTACTCAACACCAGGAAATAGAGTAAACGAATACGTAAATAAGTCATAGTATAGCTGTATCCAGAGTTCCTATTCAAAACTCTCAAAAAGAGAGATGCTCTCTCCTTAATACAAAATTGCAGCCAGACAGATACTTCAATAGAGGTATACGTTGAATTTTTAATGCTTATCTAATTATCATGCTCTGTGGTGTTCCTCTTAGAGCCCCTCGTTTATGTATATCTGTGCGTGCATTAAGCATCGCATGCAAGCGCTTTATTGTTTATTTATTTATACTCTCGCTGCGTGATAATAATAATTAATAAAAAATGTAGTCAGTAAATCAAGTAGATGTGTTAATATCTCTGAATTTTATGTATCATGATTCTTGTATGCTAAAGTATGTAGATCAAGATCAAGCTTCTTGATATGTGCACTTTGTACAATCCCGTCGTTGTCTTTATGATCTCGCTACCAGCGTGCCTGAAACGTTTAGATGTACTAGATTTTAAGGGATGTTTGGGAGAATAGGTCGCTGGAAACTATGATTCGGTAATATGTGCTCTAATGCAAGATGAACATGCATAATAATGATGCTCAGTGTTAAAGCATAGACTGTATATCATTTTTTTTTGCGCTTGAAAATCAAGTACATCTTGCTGTTTCAATTGTCCTTGGAACTGATTTATCAATCAGTCGCATACGTTTTCGTTGTGAGATGCAGTAATGGCTAAAAAAAGCCATTATCACTTGTAGAACGAATCTTTATGTATCTGCTCATTACGAAGCGCCCCCCCCCAATATATCACCAAATACACAAGCATCTCTACTATCAAGGAGTTATAAAGAATATTTTTCGCTGGACACCTAATCGTAAATGTGTAAATCGAGGGAATACCGTATCCAGATGTAAATAAATAAAAAAACGCCAACAAATCCTTAAGATATAAATTAGCTAACTTTACAAAACCACCCCTTTGTCTCTAATAATCCCTGAATAATGCTACAAACATCTGCATGACCTCTCTTGGCCCTTACCGGGGTGAGACAGATTAAGCTCATTTATCGTCATGTCAGTGTGTCATCTCTCATGATTGAGAATTTCCTCCTTATTAATACTACTGTTTATCATTCACTATGAAACTGAACTGAAGTTTGCTAAAAGAAAGCATACGCCAAGAGCCAAAGTTTTAAATTTTTTATTGCAAACATTACTGATAGAAGCAGATGAAGAAAAGCTTAGCGGCCATTTCTTGATAATTAGGAGAAGCCAACCTATTTTGTCAATTATCTTATGATGGCATTGTTTTTTCGAATTAAGCTATCTTCATTTCGACTGAAGCATTAAGCTTTTCTTGGAAATGAACGACATGAATTGAAGCTATTGGAAAAGTTTTGCAGAAGAATGATAATTGATCCTATTTCTTCTATACAAATCCATGTCTTGTTTTTTTTTGCAAATCGATTCGATTTGAAATGATGAGCGAGTGAATTGACTCCGTACACCAAGGCGAATGAACTGATCATCATCCTCCCTATGTCTCTCCATGTCTCCCTATGTGCGTTATGGAATAGGTTCTATTTTGCGGCATGAAGTGTTCATCCTTTTGTTCTCAATCTCTTTTGGTCGTCCTCCTTTTGTATGTATGTAGATGGATCACATCGAAGAGTGTATTATGAAAAGGCATTTTTTTTTACAAGGGGGTGTTCAAGTACATTTCAAACAAGAATAAAAGGGGCAAAAGAATTCTCTTTGCTATGATGTTATGTGGCAAAATCATTTTATTTTGAATCAAACCATCAGAATGAATTCTCATCATAATGGCGACTTTTGTTGTTTCCAATGTTGTGACTATAGCTATATTGCTCAAGACAAAAGTGAGGCTTCTCAATTCATACAAGGTTTTGTGTATCAAAAACACTTCTTGCTTGTCAATCACGATGACAATAATAATCATAACAGAATAAATTCGGAATCGACTCTCCCGTAATATATTTTTTTTTAGGAAAAAAGGGGGTGTCGGTGCTTGCAAATGAGGGAAAGATACAACTTGTAAATTATGGAAATTTATCTAACCAGTATCAGTTAATCACAATTCTTAATTCTTTATCCTACGCGGAGAGAAACATATAGCGAATAAAAAAAGAGAGGCAGAGCATACATAGAGAAGGGGCTACTTTAGATGCTCTGAATGTGATGTATGTGCTTAAACAACCACAGTGAACTAATTGATAAAATGTCAACACATCAATAAATTCATGTCCGACCTAGGCACAGTTGCCATGACAACCAGAAACGGGATCAATTTTACTTGGGCCACCGAGGATAAGCAGAAGATGCACACATTGGTATCACAAGATTGTTATCCAACATGAGCTGTTTTATATAATGCGCTGGATCAATTGACTGATCAAGAGCTTTGTCAAGATCAATCCATAAAATCGCATAAGGAGTACATAAAGCGGTATGGTTGGAAATGATGATGAGAATCAATCATTATCTGAGCCAAGCGCGTATCATACCACATCCTTGTGATGAAAACCCTTTTTCATGGAAAGCTTAAAAACCCACATTTCTTGAACAAGCAAGTATAAATGTATGACAACATCCAAAGAAGTTGATGTATGATTGTGTGTTGAAAAAGGAGACTTACGCTTTGGGCTTCTATATGACCAATCTCAGACGATTAGGAGATTCTTATAATGCCATTGGTTTGGTTAGTTGTGATAATTTCGTCTATAAATAATTGTTGTACAAGTCAAACTTTGTAAATAGAGGACGGATACTAGTTGTCAAGCACGCGCAAAAAGTGTTGTTTAAATAAAGGAATAGAACAAATTTGTGCACGGTGATATCGACTTCTTAACTTGTCAATTGTGTGTATTTTTATCAACATCATTCATCATCGGGATTGATCCGTTATTATACAGATTACAAGCTTGTTATACAAAGTTTTTTTTTATTCGTTGTTGGACCAACCAGCTGATTTGAACAACCCACTCGACTTTCATGCTTTGATCGACATTCATGTTTATTAATAAACGAAATGCTCTTTTGCAATACGGTGCTGGGGGGGGGGGAAGGTAGGGCGAGAGACAGAGACAAACTAGCCAAAAAGGAGAAGGAAGGTGAACAGACAATCCTATTTGATTATCGGAGTGTTGTTACATGGGTGTGTACTAGTTAACAGTGAGTATTACTATTGCTACTAACTTGTATTTTTTGGGCATTGTTGCAACCACGCAATCAACATGTGAAACATGGCTACACGATCGATGACAAGCTCTTCACAGATTGTGCTGAATAAAGGAGTAAATAATAACCATAAAGTTAATAACAATCATAACATTGGTTTGTTAGCCGAGATGATTAAGACTACATATAATTATATCATGTAGGGGGGAGGGATTTCTCAGTATTGGTGTGTTTGTGTGATCTGTATGATGCTTATGTATGTGTATATGTTTGTAAGGATGTCCGTATGTACTCATGGAAGAACAAACGCAAGAGGGGAGAATCAGGAATGGCGTAAAAGAAAAAGCATGTATTCATCAGTGATGTGATTTACACATTGAACCAAGGAGCAATTTGATCCTGATTTACAGCTATTCACAAAAAAAAGTAACATTGTATGTCGTTCGGCACACACACTTTAGTCGATCTTCCATCAACTTTAAATGATAAATCAAGAGAGCATCCACTCCTTGAATCTCACCCTAAATTAAGCCTAGGCTTTTCTTTTTATGTGTTTATACAAAATCAACCATCTGTAAGTTTACGCGTTACTATTACATTATTATATACTGTATACAGGAGTACACAAGCACACAAACTTTACTCATTTTCTGTTGTGCTCCATCAAGGGGTACCTTCTTTTGTACATAGGGAGCAAAAAGTCAATATTAAACTGTAGCATAGTCATCTTAATAACAATCTGTGTACTTTGGCTTCGATTTTTTTTTCTTCTTTTTCTATAAATAAGCGACATGTTGAATTTTACATCTTTTCTCTTTTTCATCCACTACTTTTTTTTCACTTTTTTTGTTACTGTATTGTTTCTTGTCTTGACAAGTAACTTTCAATTAAGCTAGACGTTTTCTTTATATATAAAGAAAACTCCATATACCATTAGCATTGACGAAAACTCACGCACAATCTGATCAATTAATATCACTCAATCAAGACTGTAAATCATGGAGATTTTAGAACTCGTTCATCAAGAAACAACGCCCAGTTTAGAAAGACCTTTCGAATGCACTTTCACTGATTGCAAAAAGACATTTGGTACGACTACAATGCCATGAAATCAATACGGTCTATTATATTAATCTATCAAATCTATATAGGCAGACGATCTGATCTAGTAAGACACTCTCGAATTCATACCAATGAGAGGTAATTGTCAAATCAAATCCCAAAATAAACAAAACAGCAAGAAAAGCTGAAACAGATTTCATTTTAGACCATTCAAATGTCGGGAGCCAACCTGTGGCAAAAGCTTTATTCAAGTAATTATTCATTTTAGCTTGGTCAAGGGCAAAACAACTAACGTCTTACAAACAGCGCTCGGCATTGACAGTGCATATGAGAACCCATTCTGGTGAGAGACCGCATGTATGCGAGTTCCCTCTCTGCAACAAAAGCTTTAGCGACAGCAGTTCGCTTGCAAGACACAGGTAAATATTTACACATTGAAAATTGCTTTCCTCTGCTAATAGCTTTCAAAACAGACGTACGCATACCGGTAAAAGACCCTACAGATGTCCTTTCGATGGATGCTCCAAGAGCTTTGTCCGTAAAACCATCTTAACCAAGCATATGAAAGGAGATCATGCTACAAATGGAAGAAGACCTTCAGTCCAATGGCAACCTTTCATTGAGGAGAGACGTAAAGTCATGCTCTTGCAGCAACAGCAACAGCAACAGCAACAGCAAAACCAGCATTATAATAATCAACAAAACCCCATGGCATCTTGTGCTTGCACAGATTGCTACAGTAATACAAGCAACTCCTTAGTAAATGCATCTCCACCTTATTGGTCACCTCCAACGCCCGTTTTATCTGTCTATGAGAGCCCTTGTTTGAGTCAAGATGATGCCTCAAGTAGTAGCAGCCCTTCCTCTCCTTCAAGTACATCTTGGCCTTATTCCTCTTCTGCTGCACCTTATCAGCATTATTACCAACATCAACAGCAACAACGAAAGCAACTTTCCAATTGGACTCCTGCTGCCGTTTGTTATGATCGTGATCATATTGTATTGCCTAGTTTGTCCAACATGTTGATCCCTGTAAAGCAAGAATGGTCTAACTCTTCTTCTACCGCTTTACCACCACCAAGAAGAGACAGTGATGTTTCATTATTCTACTCGTAATGTATATATCCTCTTTATTATACCATTTTTTTCTATGTTTTTTCTTCCCATTTGCAAACGAAAAAAGAAAAGTTACCCTTATCCTCTCTTCATCCTCCTCTTTCACTCTCCACTTTTCATGAACAAACACAAACACACAAAAAATCAAGAGCATTACAAAAAAAAAACATCATTTTACTGCACCTTACATACCCGCTCCCACAAAAAAAAAAAAAAACTTTCTTCTATGGTCATTCCCCCTTAATTTCCGTTTCATCTTGATTATTCATCATTATCACAATGATTGCCTCTAAAGGCATAAATCAGGAAACCATCCCTCTTTCTTGCTTATCCTTTTTGCTATTTTATGTTATATTATTATGTCTCTCTTTTATCTACACAACTTGACAAAACCTTTTTATGCTTCATTTATATGCCCTCAAACTTTTCATTCTTTTTCATTGACATCAACAACATTTCGCTCTTGGTTTTTTCCCTCCTCATCTCTCCTCTTTCTTTGCTGAAATCCTTCTCATCATTACTTCAAAGTTATTTTCTTTCATCGGTAATTTCCAATAAAAAAAAAACTAGTATTATAAATTTTGGTTTTTGACATTCTAGGAAGTGTTCCACCATTTGTCAAAGCTTGGTACACCTTCTAAAAACAATTGAATATTGTTGCATTGATATAATGATTCACACAGAGATTTGTCCAGTGATCTCTCCTTTTATATATATTCCCGACTTTTTGTCCAAGTACTCATTAAATACTAACTTAAAAAAAACATTTCTTACTCGTCAGGTGCTTTAATTTGCTTTCGGCTCAAATCCGATCTACGCATTGTGTTCGAGAGGCAGCAATGCACCAAAAGGCGTTCCTGAGCGGACAATAAATAAATTGATTGGTGCTCAGGTTCCGATCTCATCTTTCAGGAACACAGAAATGTTCAGTCGATTTGAACAAATTTGTAAAAACAGCAACAAAATCAATTACTATTCATGCAAAAAAAAAGAAGAAACAAATTTCAGTTAAAGGTAATCAGTTAAGTTGTGTGTAGAAATAAGAGCCAAGATAAGCAGACGGTGCATGAGTCCGTTGTTGTCCTTTTAGATAATATTACATCTTGCAGCTGTGTCCCTGGGTTTTATTTCCATAAACTTCATATTCGCCCTTTTTTAAGCTTGTTGGCTTTTGTACTATTTCTAATCACATTTCTACAATATCATAATGAATTTACACATGGTATGCTAGTCGGATAATTGCGTATTAATTGATTGCAGTTCACATTTTGCAAAGGTAACAAGTGCATTGTATTTTTTCAACGATTCATCTCGAAGCGTTTCATTCAACTGTTGTTCGAGTTGCTCTAGAACCAACCCTAGTTCTTTTGCTTGAGGGGGTATTAATAATCTGGCACTCTTTTATCATTTTTAGAAACAATACATACTCTGTTCATTTTTCAATATAGTCAGCTCTTGTTCCATCATATTTAATTCTCTTTTTGCTTCAGCCAGCCGATCATTCACAAACAAAACACCATCTTGATTGTCTCTGCTCTCCTCCAATTTCACCAAATACGACTGTGCTGCTTTGATTTTTAAAGATAATGCTCCTGCCTTTTCGAATTGACCATTTTCAATGGCCAGCCTTTTGAGTTTTTCGAAATTTTTCAATTTGATAGTGATTTTAGTAATATTTTCTTCCAAATCTATGCATGCTTGTTTGTACTGATAAAGTTCAGCTTGAATTAACTTAATCTCTCTACTTTTACGGGCAATGGATTCCCGAGATCTATTTTAAAAGCGAGCTAAGCGATATGCACATATAGAAAACTTGTGGTTCAACATAATCTCACCTTCTAATCAAAGCATTATGTTGTGCGACCGTCTGATCTCGTTTCTCAATTACGGAATTTAACAAATTCTGAAGAATGCTTTGCTCTGTTTTGCTGGATTGCGCTCTTTCGTTTGCCTGTCCCATCTGTGTAAGCAAATGATCGAGCTCTTGATCGTTCAACTGTTGAGTTGCCTTTTGATCCTCCATGTCTCTTTCGATTTTGGCATCTTTCTCACCCAGTGAGATCAGTTTATGTTGAATTTCTTTCTGACGTGCGTCGATTGCCTTTTTCTCAGTACTATCCTCCTCAACTTCCTCTCTGAACACTTCCAATTTGTCCTTGATGACAGCTTCCACGTCTTGCAGTTCCTTAGTCACTGCCAGTTGTTCAGACTCTAATTGCTTTACTCTCTGTCTCAATTCATCGATACTAAGCTATCTCAAGGATCAGCATTCTGCAGATCATTTAACAACCATGTTTACAATACCTGAATAGTTGTAGATGTAGCCTCCAATGATTTTTTTCTTTTGACCTCTGCTTGCACAGCTTCCTCCATGCGTTCATCTAGATCAGTGTGATTTTGGCTCCACATGTCCAAATCAAAAGCGATTTCTGATTTTTCACTCTCGATAGCCGCTCTTTGTTGCTCCATTTGTTTTACTGTTTCTCTGTGTAAACGCTCTTTATCCGCTGCAAATGTCTCAAAACGACGTCGACGCTCATCTTTTACTTCTTGGCAGCATTTCGCCATGTTTTCCGCATCTTGTGATTCTTGTTGAAGAATATGAATCAACTGCTCCCATTCTTTTCGAATTTGATCTTGGAAATTTCGAGATACAAAATCCGTATAGTCTCTCTCCATCTTTTCGCCTTGAATCGCATACTTGTGCGCTACCTCATAGTTCTCTGAATCTACTGCCTGTTGCTTTTTATGATCATTATTGCGGATTGCGTCTTTCATCTGTATGTTGCTGTTAAGGTATCGCCACTTCCATATAGTATTCATATCTATACCTCATGCGCCATTTTTTGGTATTTGATTTGATCTTCATAATGCTTTCTTATTCGCTGCATCTGCAATGATTTTTTCTTTTGTATCTTCTGCCAACGAGTTGAAGCTTGCAAAAGAATTGTCTCTTTATCTGGCTTGATGATTGATTTCGACGTGACATGCACCTCCTCCTCTTCCAACAATGATGGCGATGTAGTATTAATTGCATCTGTAGCCAAAAGAGTATTTCACGTCCTTTAGTACAGTAAAAAGTTTAACCCATATCGATTCTGATTACCTTGGTTTATAAAATCAAATGCAGATTTGATTAAAGGCGCTCGTCCCTCTATTCGGTCTGACGAAACGGAATCGTCCAACATGCTTTGAGTCAACTTTCCTTTTCCTTTCCGAGATCCATTTCGCTTCTTGTCGACAAACGTAGAAGGGTACTTCTCCATAAGAGCAGAGTAGTTGCTGGTATTTTCTTTCTTCGTATTTTTGTCAGATTTACTGCTCACTCGATCTTCATCACTATCCATAAAGTCTTCCATGATGAAGGAGGATGAGAATTTCAGTGGTTGGTGCTTCGCAACATACGAAGTAGGCTTGGCGTTGCTGTCCTGGTCAATGAATGGGAATAATGATTTGAAGTTTCTGCTGCATGAATCACTGTCTTTGTTTAATGACGAGGTTGAGCTATTGCGGCTGTTATGATCATCGAATGGATCATCTTTGGTATCTCTGTAGATGAATAATGAGTTTGATGCTTGTCCAGGTTGTTGATAACCTGTTCTTTCTTGCTTTATTTTTCTGTCGTTCTCTAACGCATTCTTGTTTGATGTTCGGTTGCTTTTCAGTAGAGGTTCGTTTATAAAGCTAAATGCTGACATAATGCAAAAAATAGAATCATGAAAGGGAAAAGAGAAAGGACGCAAAGTCAGAGCGACGCGGTTTTAATGAGATGCTCGCTTGCCAATGTGTAACTCTGCTGTGAGAGTAATAGAAAAAGCCGCTTTTTAGGCATCTTGTTGGAGGCCTTAATAAGGAAAGTTAAGATTTTGATGGTAAGTCAGGTCAACTTGCAATATCAGATAAAAAAATTTCTAATAAAAAATCAATAATAGTATCCAAGCTGTGTGGTAGCGCTTTCAGATATTCAATCCGTTCACTATAGGCTCTCAAAAGCATCGATGGCCTTCCAAATGAGAATGGCATGAGAATTGCCAGCCAAAATAAATTAAATGACCGTTTGTCATTTTTTCAGCGAGAATAACATACCTGGGGCAAAACTCCGGCCCTAATAAGATAAATGATTGGTTTATATTGTCCAATAAAATCATAAATTAGGGACAGCCATAGAAATATATATATGAATTTTAAAAGCCTTACTATACTTGCAAATCTAATCTGATTTACCTCTTTCTCCCTTTTATATTCATTTATTTATGCGTTTTGTGAACAGTAATGGGGAAAGTTACCAAACATAGCAACAATAAAGACAAAGGAAAAGTACAAAGCTTCTCTACCCTTCGATTTTCTGCTACCAAAGGCTTTGTTTCGAACCAAGCTACAATCACACAAGTCTTCAAGCGAGTAGCTAAATCCAATGCAGCAACAACAATTATTGATCCTTCAAGCAGCTCAAATCAGGGCGAGTTATCAACATCTGGAAACCAAGAATAGCGCTCTGTCCCTGAAAAGGGTGAAGAGAACTGCGAGGCTGAAGACAATGATACTGTCCAAGATCTCCCTCTCAACACTCAGCACAGAGACTTTTTCGAATCTCTCTGTGCCCGCTTGCATGAGGACGGACGTCCTGTTGAATACAACAGGAATACTGTTTGGGTGGAGCCAATTAATCCCTATTTTGCACTGCTGAAGAAGATACCGGCGAAGGAGGAACCCAATAAAAGCCTATATCAACCTCGAGTATTTCTATGGCTACCTCATCACTTGCTTCCACACAGGTCCAAGTCTTTAGAATGCCCCAAGTGTAAATCTCCACTGGAAAGCAAAGGCTTCAACAAGGATCCGCATGCTAGAAGAATCGTTGATCTTGCAAGGTAAGTAAGAGTAGAGTAGTTAAAGGCTGAAACGTTGGCTTGATTGCTAATATGAAATTTAGTTGTTTCCATCTGTTGTCATGCAGATACGAATGTACAGTGACTGGATGCAAAAAGCCTGGATTTGAAGACTCATGGCAATCTCACGACCCCATCATTATGCGACAATTGCCACAGGAGCTACAAATGGAATTCCCTGCCGTTTTGACTAGCAAAGGAGGTGTTTCCAAAACTGTTGCAAATCTCCTTCGTCCGTGCATACAAAACTCAATGGGTCCTCAGAGATTCCAAAAGTTACTCCGAGAATTGCATGTTCTTCGTCAAGATCAGCTGGAACTCCAGTACTTACTGTCATGTTTGGCTAAAAAGAAAGGACTCCTCCGGAACTATTTATTCCTACCGTACTCGAATTTTGAAGACTCTCACCAGTAGGCTGGCTATGTACCAAGTGCCACGTATTTCAGGACTTTGTACACAGCAATGATCGAGGAACTCAAGCCAAAGATGGACAAACATGCCATGCTTCTTGAGGGCAAAGTGCTTAAGTGCGATCACTCTTTCAAATTCCCGAAACATATCGCTAAAATTGAGGATGCTGGTGTATTCACTGCCTTGTTCACCGTGACGAATGAGTATGAGGAGATCGTACATTAGGTTCTGGTCCCCTCAAAGTCCCTTATCTATCTGAAGCATTCATTGCAAAAGATGAAAGAAGCATACGAACTTTATGGACATGAGATGCCGGTAGCTTTCTTCACTGATAATGTGCAAAGCGATAAACGATTCTTGGAGAGCATCTTCGACTCTTTGAAGGTCATTCAAGAGGTCCCACGTCAGCAAGAGACTGCAAACAGCAACGCAAACCGGTCATTCCTCAGGCTGCCAAATGATGTTGAGATAGATTATCTCAATCGTGATGTAGGGTTGATTATTAGGAAGATGAAGGATCTGAATGACAAGTTGACCGTCGAGAGAAACGCTGGCAAGCCCTCGGTTATTGGACTTGACACAGAGTGGAATGTGAATGACGATCCGCATTACGATCAAGCTGATGTCATTCAGATTGCTCATGGCAATACAGTGGACGTCCTGCATATTGATAGATCCTGGCCCGCACTTCCCAAGGAGCTTGTAGATGTGCTTGTAAACGCTGATATCATGAAAGTTGGAAGAAGTATTGGTGTTGATTTCTCTCGTCTCAATAACCGGTTCGGAATTGAATGCAAAACGAAGTTAGAGCTAGGATCATTCTGCTCTGCACGGCAGCTAATCTCAACAGGTACAATGTCATTGTCAGACATTTCGCTATGTATACTTGGTGCCCCTCTTGATAAAGGCTCTCAAAGAAGCGAATGGAATATGGCTGACCTCTCGCCAGATCTTCTAAATTATGCTGCAATTGATGCTTGGGCTAGTTTGGCCATCTACAGTGTTGCTGCGAATCATCTGCCTGCTGGTAATCGTGTGCTTCCTACCTGTCCAGTTGGTTCCTTTGTAGATGTGATGCCTCCACGAAACAGTCAAGCTGTTGCCTACGGCGAAATCGTAGTTAATGGTAGCACAGCAACTGTAAGAATTACAAAAGTATATGTTCCTGGATATCTGGCAAATGGTATTGCTTTGCAAACATATGGTGAACCACCATTTGAACTGAGAGTTCCTGCAGCTCATCTCATCACAGCTGCTTCACCATCTGAAGCCTCGAGTATTTCCTCTGCTAATCCTACCGCCACTAGCGATCCTGTAATAGCTACGCCAGTAAGCAATCCCAATGCTATCATGGAGTCAGAAATTCAGTCAAAGATGCAAGAGATTTTTGGTGATGCTATAGACAGGGTTGACAAGGCTGGCTTTACCAGTGGCTATCGACAGTTTGCTTGGTATAATGCTGATCCCAAAATTGCTTTTACTCGCGTCGTCAAACACATTTTTCATTTGGTGGATATGATCAAGCCTTGTAAGAGACACACCTTGTATAAGCAATTCACTAGAAAATTTAGTGAAAGCTTATTTACGATTGATGAGACTGACAAAGAAAAGGTCATCGCGGCATTTGCACAGAAAAGACTTAGGGATCCAAGCTTTACACACACCTGGGATTCGAAGATGAAATACGATCGTGCGTGGTTGTGGAGAAGAGTACGAAGAAAGGTGTCTGCTCCTGAAGTGTTGCTTCCTCTTTTAAAATCCTTGTTTCTTTCTTACGGCCCTCTGAAGTGCGCAAAATCTGGAAGAGCACTGTTTGATAAAAAATCTTGGGATCAAGCAGCTGCTGTCTTGAGAACAGTGCAATTAGGCCATGTATCTGATCCGCCAGATGTACAATTGTACATTAAGACAGGAAAATTGGACGATCTCAAGCTGACACTCTATAGATGCATCCGTGGAACAAACTCTTTAGAAGGCGGAGTCCACCAGAACTTGATTCGCAAGTTTGGGTCGTTTGGTGCTGGTCCAGAGCTGGCTAATGCGATGCTTACTGAATACAGGCTGAGACATAATCTCGACGTGGGTTCAAAGAACAGGCATTCAGTCATTTACAAAAGCCATTATGATCCCTGGCTAGTTCAGCATATTGATCTCTTGCGTCAAAAAATGGGATTCAGTGCTGACACAAGAAACATCGCTTTGTCTGTGAATGCTTTGGAATATTGCGGTTCTGGTGAGCTCTTTGGTATATGCCCTTTACCAAATGAAGAGATGGTCAAATTGGTATCTTGCCCTCTGAGATCACGGATGAGAGCTTGCCTCTTGTAGACAAAACAATTCCACAGCTCCAAGACACTGTCTTCATGAAAGTTGGGTCAACTTTGCGCTCACATCTTGACCGTTACAAGTTTGTTGCAAACAATCAATGTACAAAGTTTGCCGTGCTTGCTGTCCATACGATGAAGGAGAAATCCGAATTCAGGGTCATTTATGAAACTCACTACAAGAATAGCAACAATAGAAGGATAAATTTTGTTGATTTTGCCAGCAAGTTCAATGAAAAGGCCAACGGTATTGATATATTCTATAAAACCACGGACCATCTCGAGAAGTATTATAAAGATTTTGAATTACAAGACGGAGTATCCAAAACAGAGGAGATTCATCAAATAGCTTTGAGACTCATTGAGCATCAAGTCGTCTCCACTAATCAGCCTTCTCAACTACTGCCTGCAGCATCGCCAAGAATACCGTCTATCAACAATGCTTTTGCTCTCGTTTCTGCAGCCACAATTGATGCACAAATACCGCCGCCATCTGTTTCATTGCAACTGCTTCAACCGCAATCACAACAGCCACACCTACAGCACAATGTCCTCCCTGCTGGCTACTATTTCCAGCCATCATTGCCCGTTCCTAGCCACAGACTACAAGATGTCTTGCCCGTTCCTGACCACAGGCCCCAAACTGCCTCGCTGGTCCCAACACACAGGTCCATCTCACCTCGACTGCAGATGTGCCATCCACATCCCTACCAGAAAGCGCCAGTAATAACAAAAAGGGTTACAGCAAGAAAGTGTAAAGGTTGTGGAAGTGAAGTCTGCAATGGTAAAAACAAACGAACAGACTGTAGTAGTCCAAGATGTTTGAAATGTGCTGCGACATCTGGCTGTCCAGGTATCTGGGATGCCAAAAATTGCAACAGGTGATTGTAAAAATGATATATTGTCATCAATTAAAGCCAACCTTTCTATAAAGCACACGTATACATTATTCCGTATTCGGATAATTTGAAATATACTTGCTAGTACCATAAGCACCGTGTCATTTAGACACCTACTCTTATGAACATCTTTTGCTTCGGCGTTAAATTTACTGTATGAGGCGATTACATGAATTAAAACCGTAAAATTCAAGAATTTAACTTGGCTGATAACCTTGCCAATATCAGAGCTATACCACTTTCTACGTGCATCTTGTAACACGAGAAATTCCTGCTCAAATGCGCCCAAACTTTGCTGTATTCTGCATACTTTAATTTAATTAGAGGTAATGAATTGTTCCTATCGATGGAGACGTGGCATTATAGAAGAGCCACACTCGCAAGAATGAGGGGCTTTTATGCGATAATAGAAGATTCAAGCCTCCATTAGTAGGATTATAGATGAAGCTGAATAGATGGACGAAGGCGGTCTGCAATCTTGCTCCAGCCGTATAAGTTGGTAGCCGCTACAGCGAGGCAAAGGAACGCGAAGTGCAGAGACACTGTTAGAGAGACAAGCAAGTATATAGCTCTCTCACTTATGATGCCAAAAGATGGTAGCTGTAGTGAAGCCGGTAAGTATATGATCAGCAGATAGAGATAAATATATTAGTTAACAAAGCAAGCTAAATGCAAATTACATGCTCCTCTTTCCGTCTGCCAAGCTGCAACCCGCTTTATTTGTATTGTCAATTAGCTCTACATTAAACAGGTTATAGGGATTGTGTTCGGTAAACAAACACTATTTGAAGACGATCGTTTGCCGCATACAAATGAAAATCTGTACTTGTTTACATCTGGCACCAGTACCAAATTTCATAAAACGTCCATAAAGGGTATTTATTCTACTCAAGCACTCGAGTTTCTGTTCTTTTATGTCTATTTACATTAGTGATATGTTTGATTGCTGCAACATTTTTTTTTACATCCAATGCTGATCTTTGTTGTCCTTACTATCATATCTTTTCAGGCAATCATCTCTTGGCAAACTGTATAATCCAACTTTCTATATACAAGATAACGATTTGAAAACAAGGTTTATGATGATATTCATTTCATTGCTTGAGTTAGATATTGTTACTTTTAGCGCACAAGTTATACACTGCCTTAGGGCTGTAAATGCATATCCTTATTTTTCAGGGCGATCGGCCCAGCTCAAGTAACGATAAAAGTATGTGTAATGGTAAGAGCAGTGATAGATATTTGCCAGAGACACATCGCATACGAATGATACATATATTCTATATGCCCTCCTTAAACATTTGTTTCACTCTCTTTTCCCCCATTTACCCTTCTTTTTCTTTCTTTATACCTAATACACATATTTCACACATATGCATTGCTATTTAATAAATCTAAGCTTAATCTTTTCTTGTATCATATCATATTCTGAAGCACTTTCTTCCCAACTGCTACAAAAGCGTCAAGGTATGTGTTGAAGACATCTCGTTTTCAGGCACTTGAATTAATCCAGTGCATAGTATGTGGTGAGTCGTGGACGTTTTGCTTACCACTCTCCAATGCCACATGGATTCAGAATAATGAATACCAATTTGTCTGGAATAAAAAGTAAGCATCGTAGCACTTGACATCACTGCGAAACCACTGAAACTGACAAGACCTATAGCCATTCCTTCTTTATCAATAATGTATGTAAGTAGATTTCACTTGCGGCCAAATTGTCATTATATTCATTATGCATTGTTCAAGAGAGACGCTGAATTTGATATTCATTTGATGACACTATCGACCAAAGCTGAACGACGTACTATTAAATCCTGGTTCAATCTCTTGAGTACAGATGAATCCCTTGCAGTTAATGTCACTGACGACTGGTTTCCACATACACTATCGAACGAAGCAACCAACAGGACATGGACCATGTATGCATTTTTGCTAGGGCATGATTCAGTACAACCATTGGCAGACCATGCTTCCTTCAAGCTGAATGCTGATGCCAATAATGCAGCGTACGTAAGTATACAAGTAGTGCGTAAGTGAAATCATGATGAGAGTGCCCACATCTAGACACTCAGGGCCACCATCTTACCATAGAAATACCTCCAAAGTCCATCGTTATTAGCAAAGAGCATTTCCCAGAGAAATGGAAGATAGCGCTGATTATTCTTGCTATTGTCGTTGTGATTATAGCGCTTTGTATCATTATTTGGCTCTATAAGAACATGCAGAAAGAGAAAAAGAAGGCAGCAAAAGCAAAAGCAGACGCAGAAGCATCGCTACAACGCACTCCAAACAACAACATGAACAGCAAGATGCAGAGTTCTATTTTAAGTACGCCAGATGCAATGATGATCGCTGATACGTTTCGTCAAGTCATGTCTACATTTGATATTGATAAACACAGAAATCAGGTTGGAGAGGATTTGCTGAAGCGTCAGCTCGAATCAGAAGGAACATCGGTCTCTGAAGTTGAACGAAGAACATCTTCGACTAAACAAAAGCAGGCAAAAAAATTGCTACTAGCATCTCCTTTCTCTGAATAAAAACATCCTTGATCATGTCTTTGAAGTACACTTTGAACGGCGTATTCTCTGTCTATAAACCAAAGGGATGGACGTCTAGAAAAGCAACTGATTTTGTGCAGCATGGTCTTTCCAACGAGTTGTGGACACATTCATCACCCATGCGACAAAGAGACAGGGTCAAAGTTGGCCATGGCGGTACATTAGACCCGATGGCAGAAGGCGTTCTTGGTATGTATGTAGTATGATGGTGGAGCGTGGTTTGGGGTCGGCAAACCAGGGGTAATTTTGGGTTTCTAGATATGGTTACCATGAGCACTATCCCACTAATTAGATCTGCGCATGTTGTATAGTGTTGGGTGTAGGCAAAGGATGCAAACAGCTGACCAACTATCTTGAGGGCACCAAGGTATGTAGAGTGTAACCTGATGGGACAGCATGGACAAACAACCTTCATGTATAGGAATACATTGTGGGAGCAAAATTCGGGCAATCAACGGATACATTTGATGCAGAAGGCAAAGTGATTCAAATAGGTAAAACCGAGCACTTGACTCGCGAGCTGATTGAGAAAACACTGCCACAATTCCAAGGCCATGTTACGCAAGTGCCACCAATGTAAGTTATTACAAAATCAAGGAAGGAGGTTTGTTTTTAAATGATCCCGTTATGGTAATTCATCTGTAGCTATTCAGCATTGAAAATGAATGGAAAGAAGCTCTATGATTATGCAAGACAAGGTGTACCATTGCCAAAACCAATTGAGCCTCGCAAGGTTTTTATCGACGAGATTGAGTTGATTGATTTGAACAGTGATCATACCGAGTGCAAATTACGTATCATTTGCGGAGGAGGTACTTATATGAGAAGCATCGTTCATGATATGGCTATGAGTATGGGAACCTATGCACACATGACTGCATTAGAGAGAACACGGCAAGGCCGATTTACAGTGCAAGATACATTGAAACTAGATGCTACCTTCTCTGTGGATACTGTCATGTCCAAGCTGATGCTGGTGTAAATAGACAATTAAGGAGGAGTGTAAGTGATATGGCTCCTCCTCCTCCCCCCCTTAATAGATGATAATTATTTCATTGTACGACTTTTGTAAATACAAGAATATATACACATTACATACACGCACACACTATCTCTAGTGCAGCACCAGCAGCTGCTATTTTCGTTATCCTTCTTTCTTTCCTTCTCTTTTTTTTTTTTTTTTTTTTTTTTTTTTTACTGAATAAAAATATGCCCATCTACCATTTACCCTCAGAATTACTGCAACAGATATTACAGCACGTACTTGATTCACCCGATGCCTCATCACAAGAGCTGTTGCAATGTGCCTTGACCTGCAAATCCTGGAGCTATTTTGCACTGCAACTCTTGTGGCATAAACCACTGATACTCAAGCCGCAAACATGGCTCAAATTCTCCAAAACGCTTGCACTCACCAACACATACATCGCCTACGCTCCACTTGTACGACGCATCAATCTATCAGCAGTTACTGAATTCATTAGCGATGAATCGCTGCTCTTACTTTCTGTTTGTAAACAGCTGGATCGTGTTACATTAACTGGATGCACATTCATCACAGACGCTGGCTTGATCAACTTTCTGAGACAGGATGTGGGTCGATACTTGCTGTCGATGGATCTGTCTGAAATCAAGCATCTGACGGACGACACAGTGCTGGCCATTGCAGACTCATGCAAGAGGCTACAAGGACTCAACCTAAGCGTGAATCCAGTGAAAGAAGAGGAATGTCATGGTATCACAGACAAGAGTATTGTCAAATTAGCTGAGAATTGCAGAGATTTGAGAAGAGTAAGGAGCCTGGTTTAAGGAGTGTGTCGTTTGGTACTTAGGAGTGTGTCTCTTTTCATTTTGTAGATTCGTCTATCCAACTGGAAACTACTGACGGATGAGTCGATTCTGGCATTGACCAAATACTGCCCAACGTTATTGGAAATCGACGTGGTCAATTGCTCCATCACCAATCAGTCCCTGCTGAGCATATTCAATAGCTGCCGAGAACTGCGAGAACTTAAAGTGAATCAGTGCCATTACCTGTCTGACGATGGATTCGTTCAATCAGCACTGACAACATCCATGCCAGGACGCATCTACTATGACCAACTTCGGATATTGGAGCTCACCAACGTATTCGGCATTACAGATAGAACAGTGGATTGCATCACACAGGCTGCTCCGAAGATGCGCAATCTAGTGCTGAACAAGTGTGTCAATCTGACGGATCTGGGCATCGAATATCTCGCTCGATTGGGCCGTTACCTGCATTATATCCATCTAGGCAGTTGTAAAAATATCTCAGATCAAGCCATTATCCAACTCACGTCCAAATGCACTCGCATCCGATACATTGACCTGGCCAGTTGTCACAAATTGGGAGATGCCACAGCCGCTGCTTTGGCAGCACTGCCTAAGCTGAAGAGAATCGGATTAGTAAAATGCCACCGTATCACTAATCACGCCATCATGGCATTGACCAGAAATGCTCGCACCAGCGTCTCGCTGGAGCGTATTCACTTGTCCTACTGTGAGCAGCTCACTGTACAAGCCATCTCGGTGCTCGTTATCCATTGTCGTCGTCTCACCCATTTGAGTCTATCATTTATACCCGCCTTTCAGCATGAAGAGTTCCAACGATTCTGTCGACCACCGCCCAAGGAGTACAATTCAGAATTGCAGCGCACATTTTGTGTGTTTAGCGGGCAAAATGTACATGACTTGCGCAACTACTTTAAATCCTCGGCCTATCTCAACAACAGCGACCTTGGAAGACGATTACATTACGCGCAATCGATACAAACTAGAATAGATGAAATGAGTGAAACGTTGCAGAACAGGCTATCTGTGCAATAGCACTCCGGTGAACTCGCTCCCGGATGATCCTCGCCAGACCGGGGTCGAAATACCATCGTATAAATATTACCGCAAAGTGGTCAATAAAAATCCTTTCTTTTGTAAACCTTTAATCTTGGTCAATCTATAACTATGGGTGGTAAATATCAATCAAACATCCATCCATCCTATACGCAAAAGAGAGAGAATGATACTAATCTATCCACACTAAAAAAGCTTACAAATATCTTGAAGAGCTTTCCAGAAAGAAACAATCCGATGTTTCTCGTTTCTTGCTTCGTGTAAGATGTTGGGAATTCAGGTACAATTCAGAATCCTTGTATTCTATTTAGGCTTGAATACGCCTTGATCTCCAATCCCTGCATGGAGATTTGAGATCAGGAGTTTATCAAATTCATCCGATGAGCTATAATTGTATTTAAACTGAAATCTCCCACCTTCTGGTTTTTTTTTTGTAAATTTGTAGACAATTGAACGTTATTCATCGTGCCTCTCGTCCTTCTCGTCCTGATAAGGCTCGTCGTTTGGGTTACAAGGCCAAACAAGGTTTCGTCATCTACCGTATCCGCGTTCGTCGTGGTGGTCGTAAGAGACCTGTTCCCAAGGGTGCTACCTTTGGTAAGCCCGTCAATGAGGGTGTGTCTCAACTCAAGTATCAACGCTCTCTCCGTTCCACTGCCGAGGAACGTATTGGTCGCAAGTGTGCCAATCTCCGTGTGTTGAACTCTTACTGGGTCAACCAAGATGCTACCTACAAGTACTTTGAAGTGATTCTCGTTGATCCCTCTCATAAGGCTATCCGTCGTGATGCTCACATCAACTGGATCGCTAACCCCGTCCACAAGCGTCGTGAAGCTCGTGGCTTGACTGCCATTGGTAAGAAATCCAGAGGTCATGGTAAGGGTCATCGTTTCAACAACACCAAGGGCTCTGGTCGTCGTGCCACTTGGAAGCGCCGCAACACTCTTTCTCTTCGTCGTTACCGTTAAATCATAATCTGACAATAAACCAACATTTCGCATCACTTTTTGTACATAGTAACTGTAGAACATGTTTATTTGTCTTTTTCTTCCAATGTGCGTAACAACATCTTGATGCGATATTCTGCTTTGGCGTTTTCTGTGCGCAACTTTTTGATCTCTTGCTGTAGCTCTTCAGTGTTGTCATGTTGAATGGGTTGATCATCTATGGCTAGAGTGTTACCTGCAGGACCCTCTGTCATTTTGATATTTTTGCGTACCTGATTTGTGAACGATGCGCTTCAATTGATCGACTTGACGCTGCAAAGCTTCTACTGCCACATTGACAGGTGTGCTACTCAGGAAATGATCTTGTACCTGCTCTGACATTCTTGATTATTAATGGATGGGGAATAAAAAGGAAAGAGCTTTCAAATTTGTATTTTGTTTCGACAGCATGTTTTTTTTAAAAAAAAAATACAACGGGGGTCCAAAAGACAGTGGACAGGAAATGTATGACATTTGATTTCGACTTTGTTGCAACATCTCAAGGAGATTATATTTACTAAGGCCACCATGATTATGCTAAGTTTTCTTTCGAAAAAGGAGGGGCTGTTAGTCGTTAAAGGAGCATGTTGGATGTGGACGAAGAGAAGGAAGAAGGTAGAAATGTTTTCAGGCTGAGGGATCTGACTACAAGCATCTCTCTCCACTGTCCTTTTATACAGGCACACACCATCACGCAAATATACATGGATACTCCTATTTCTTTCCACACATCACGGAAAGAATGATACATTTGTATACAACAAGCAAAAGACGTCTTGCTTAGGGTTACCCTGACTCGAAATCATGTCGATGTGAGTATTTACAGCTGAGTTGTTGGACCCGTATATATATATTAAATTTGATTGATATTGTATTATTATTGTTCATTAAATATGCGTATATAAGCTTTCTATATTGAATTGATCTCTCTCTCTCTCTCTCTCTCTCTGTTAGCTTGGATTCTACATCAGTTTCATTAAAACTACGAATGAATGTGTGTTGGTGCGTACAATGCAGGGTTGCTTCTTTTCCCATCTACCTGAAATTGTTTGAAGTATTGTAAGGGCCTGGACGCTGCTTGCTATTAAGCTTTTTTTGCTATAGCAAAACAAGCCTTTGTTTTGCGTGTGTTACGCTAAATTTAAGATAGGATCACACAAACCATTTATTGTAGAATGCTGTATTACACATATTAATTTTTTCGTCTTTTTCATCTCCAAGCAGTTTTTTTTTTCTCATTAGGTTGCCCCTCTTTTTCTTTGAAAGCATACATAAAAAAGTATATCGAATCTAATTTATATATTTCTCTTTTTTTCATTTCTTCTCTTCTTTCTCTTTCTCTCTCTCTCTCTCTCTCTCTTTTATTCCATTTCTTTTTGATTGAATACACATCTGGCTGTATAACAGAACATTTGGTCAATTCATCACAACATTCATCGAAACAGCAGTAAAAAGAATTTAGCAGAATGGAAGGACCAGCATGTACAGGTTGTCAGCTTATAATTGAAGAGGGTTCAGTGATAGCATTTGGTGATTCGTTGTTTCATCTGAAATGGTAACTACTCGAGAAGTTTCCCTGGCTGCAATTGCATAACAATAACCTTAATTAGCTTCATTTGTGCAAAGTGCTCTGATCCAGTGGATTGCGAATCAAATTTGCTGCTATTAACAAACGGAAGACCTGTTTGCGAGAGCTGTTCTTATTGCTGCAATGCTTGTAAGCAGGTCATCCGAGATGAAGCCATCATGACAGGTAAGATATACGAGCCTCATTGCTGGAAACCTGTACTTAGGTGAGCAATAGGTGATGAGGCGTACCACGCAGACTGCTTTCAATGCGTGTCATGCAAAAAGAAGATTGATGATTTAGTATTTACCCAAACCAGCAAGGTACATGACCAATGGACCCTGATAGATATACATTAAGGCTGACATTCGCTTTACAGGGCATCCACTGTACACCATGTCATGAAAAACGCAGAGCCGAAAAGCAAAGACGACGAGAAGAACGAGAAAAGCGACTGCAACTGAAGCAGCAAGCAAAGGAGTTGCCAGCCATCCCACCTGCTAATGCCGCTACTGCTGCTGCTACCTCTTCTCCTCCTGCTGCTCAGGTAAATGACAATATGAAGAAATATAAGGAGAAAAGAGGTCAAATTTCTAATAATGGTGTATAGTCTCGAAAGAAAAACCTGCTTGGCACAGCGACAGCATCTCATAGCAACAGCAATCGTCATACGAGCCGCTTATTCGATCCACAATTAGTTGCAGATTATATGCAACAATCGTCAAAGAGAGACCCACCTACACCATCTCGTTCTCGTAGCAATTCAGTAGAGATTCCCCCAAAAATGCGCCTGATAGGGCCCACTCCCTCACGATCTGAAGTTGTGACAAAATCACCCAGCTCACCTCCTTTATCCATTGGCGACAACAGTAAGAAATCTAAATTAACTACATCGAGTTCGCTCACAGACATGCCGTCCCTCAATCTTTCATTTTTTGATAATGAATCTACTGACCTTGTCAATCTGACCAAGAAGTTGGGGGCCAACATCTCTCTGGACATCTACGGCAGCCAGCAGGACAAGCAGAAAGCTGCAGCCGTTCCCGTGATTGTCAAGACCACTGAAAATATCACTCGTGCTTCGCAATACCTCGAGTCCTCCCTAATGACTGATGATTACGACTTTCCTCAACCACCAGCAGCTGTGTCGTCCGCAGAGTCCATTGACAACAAATCAAGCCTGTCCATTTGCACCGTGTCATCCTCCTCAACTACCACAGACCAACTGCGCACAGAACTTGATGCCACACAAGCTAAATTAGCTGCTATGCAAACTAGTTACACCAAGATTAAAGACGCAAGTCGCAAAGCCTTGGATGAATTTACACGTGCAAAGGAAGAGTTTGCCAAAGAAGTTGCCTTACGCCAACAGCAAGAGTACACTATTTTGCAGCTAAAGCATCAATTGCACCTGGCTTACCTTGCTAAACAGCTTGCAAGGCCTGAGCTAGCCGCCATCACCAAAGAAGAGATTGAACGGGTAGCCAAGATTCGTGTGGAATTAGACAGAACATGCAATGAACTCAAGGGCTATCGTAACGTACTCTGCAAAGACATTGAAAGCCTTTCAAAACAAACTGGCCTTGTGGCTGTTCAAGACGCCTTGGCCTGTGAAATCAAGTCTCTATACAGCGATCGTGAGCAAGTGCGCATGGAAACCAAGACATTGGAAGCCATTCGAGATGATGTGCTGCATGAAATGGTGATGCTCAACACCAAAAACGCTGAACTGACAGAGATGAACAACGACTTGTCACGTCGTGTCACTGAAAGAGAGCGAGAAGCTGCTGCTGTCATGGCAGGCACTTCCTTTTTGTACTCTCCTTCGCCCAGCTTGTCATCTGAGCTCAACTCTCCTATTCTACAACAACGCAAATCCAGTGAAACCAGCATTCATTATCATTACCAGCAGCAGCAACAACAGCAACAGCAACAGCAACCCAAGGTCTTTAAGCTAAAAAAGAAGGGCAACATGTTTGCAAAGTTAAGCGGGAAGAAGGACCCTGCTGCTCAGCTATACGGCCACAGCAACCTGACGACCTCCAGTACGCTCAGCTTGTCGCAATCACCAGACCTTTCGTCCAAAAAGCAATCATCTGAAAGCATGCATCAACACGGATCACATACATTTCTGCCTACTTCCTTCTTGCGACCTGTCAAATGCGATGCTTGCGGTGAAAAAATGTGGGGTCTGTCTGAATTACGCTGTCAAGGCTGCCTGTATGCCACACATGCTCGCTGTCTACCTCATGTGCCTCAGTTGTGCTATGGGTCTCATACCAGCAGCAGCTTGGAATCGCCCCCTGCTGTTGAAGAGACTATCAAGCTGTTTGGCGGCGACCTGGCCGAACGTTCTCGATACGAGGATAGACCCATCCCATTGATCATTGAACAATGTATTCAAGCTGTCGAAAAACGAGGTATGGACTATGAAGGCATATATCGTAAATCTGGTGGTGCGGCACAAATGCGACTGATTCATCAATCATTTGATGCTGGCGAGCCTGTTGATCTGGAAGACGATGAATCCGTCAATGACATCTGCGCTGTAACAAGTGTTCTCAAGCAATATTTCAGAGAACTGCCTAACCCCCTGCTGCCTTATAATCTGTATTCTCAATTTATTGATGCAGTGTGTAAGTATCTGACATGCCATACTAATCAAAACGAGTTGCTGATCTGTCTATTATGTATAGCAAACCAAGTTGGCCAAAACAAGACAGACAAGTTCTTTGAACTGCTATCACAGCTACCAAAAGTCAATTATGACACACTTCGATTACTGATCAAGCATTTGTACAGGTAAGTCTGTCGAATATTACGAAAATGACTAAATAGCCCCTCGTATCGCTAACAACGCATTCGGATAGTGTCCAAAAACGCCATAACGAAAACTTGATGACAACAAAGAATTTAGCCATGGTGTTTGGACCTACATTGTTGCGTGATGTCGAATCAAGTCGTGATCTCGTTGATATGAGCTACAAGAATGCTGTTGTCGAATTTTTGATCATACACGCTTACGATCTCTTACTTTAATTTATAATATGCTATTACTACCATACTCTTCCCCATATGCCACTTTTACTGTTAACCTCTGTCTTTTTCACTCATCCTCTCCTCTTTTGCCCCTTTATTCCTTCCACGTATACCATATTACATACTCTATACATATAATCTATTTATTTTTTTTATATCTACCTCACCATTTATTATTATAACTATTTCGCTTCTACTTTGTTTCTTTTTACTTTATTACAAGATGCTCCTTTCTTTTTCTTTCATTATTACAGAATAGAACAAAAAAAAAAAAAAGCTCCTTTAATTATCCCATTGATAATGTAGTTACACATGATTACTAGATCAAGAGGCTTTGGCTGATCTGTAGAACAAAGCAACCAGTTGCATACTTGCATAGTACATGCAAGCGTCTTTCTCGATCTTTCCAAGGCCTTTCCTCTATTCTATCAGGATTTCATAGATTGCCTTATTTTGACTAACACGATATTGATTGACATCTAATCAGTTTTCGCAAAACAAACGGCAAAGATATTCATGCAACAGCTTATGAACATTTGGATCAGGGCAATGGTTCGTGTGGTTTTTAGTGTTAGGCAATGTCTGCGATTTACTATAGACATGGGGTTTAGGGTATTTTGTTGAGATTATCGCAGTGTTTACTTACGGACATTGACGATCGTTCGGAAAGGAAAGAAACATTGGTTGATAACAAGAACATTATGCACATGCATACTCTTAAGTGCTTTGATACATTGATGGTTAACATACAATGTCCCTCGACGACGCAAACAGCCAATTGCTCAGCGCATAAGGATCTATCTCGCATCAATCAGCCTCAACCCCAAATAGAGCACCCCATAAGTGATTTGCCTCTTAGCAAGTTTCAGTTTCGAAAATGCAACTGTCTTTATTTTCATGATGCATAGTATCTAAACAAACAAACAAACAGTTGCGCGCATAAATTCACAGCTATAAAGGCGTTTTTCGAAAGATTTCTTTTTTCTCCTTCTTCCTCTTCTTTATCATAATAACAGCACATAATGACAATTGAGGTAATTGGCGCTGGCCTTGGCCGCACAGGTACCAGTAGCTTTTGTGAGGCATTGGATATACTCGGGTGAGTTAAGCTACGTATTTAAGGCTAGGTAAACTGAGCAATCAATGTAGCTACAAATGCCATCATATGAAGAGATGTTTGGAAGACCCAACAAATCAAAGCAGCAAACGTTTCTACGATGCTTTCTTGAACAAGAGTGAAGCGAACTGGGACGAGGTCTATGAAGGCTACACTGCCGCTGCAGATTGGACCGCTGCTCATTTTTACAAGGATCTTTTGTTCAGATATCCCAACGCAAAAGTTGTTTTAACTGAGCGTCCTTTTGAGGACTGGTACAAATCAATGAAGAACACCATCTACCCTGCTATTCGTAACGGAAAGAAGCTGCAGCCAGGCCATCCCCACTATGAATTCAGAGAACTCAATCGACAGATAATTTTGGATGGGTACATTGAAGACGATGAAAAGTTTTTGGACGAGGAGTTCATGCGCAACTATTATGACAATCACATCAAACAAGTCAAGGAAGTAGTTCCTGCAACTCAATTGTATTCCTTCAAGCTGGGCGAGGGATGGGAGGGACTTTGCAAATTCCTTGGTAAAAGTGTGCCTGAAGAGCCTTATCCCAACGTCAACTCCACAGCTCACTTCCAACAGAGATTCATAAAGAAGTCTAATGAAACCCCTTCTGAGCAGAATGTTGGAGATGCTTAAACCAAGATAGTGTACCCCTTAGTATGCGGCATTGGAGGTTTCATTTCAATTTGATGGGACTGTGCTCTTTTCAATATCAGTGCAAAACTATGAATATTCGAGGCTGATTAGCAATAAAAAAAGGCTACTTGTTTGCACATTGTCCTTTTCATAACAAAACTGCCGATTTCATTCATTTCTTTTCTAATAGAGCATTGCAACATTGGAATCCCTCTCAAAACTCAGAAATGAAGCAATCAAACAATAGGCTCACCCTCCTTGATTCTCCAAGATAAATTTTAAAGTAAAATTGCTCATAGCATGAATAACGTCAAGTATATTTTTGACATTAAGAATCTTTTGCAAAAAGTAGCACTCATGTCTCCTTAATCGTTGCTGATGTACGTGTCTTGTTTGTGTTTATGATAGCTTTGATGTGACTTATTAATCTCCTTTTTTTCGACAACTTGACCGCCTGTACTGCAATGCATAACACTTTATTTAAGCTGTTCCTTTTTGTTCCCTTTATCTTGAAATTTTAAACAAGCAGTTTTATCATGGTAAATACACAAGTGACTAATTTGGAAATTGGACCTATGCCAGAAAGTACACAAGATGGTGCTACAACAAATGACATGGTCTGTCAGAAGGTACAACAGCAACCAGCATCGGATTTGTTGGATGAGGAAGCAGAAGAGGAGGATAGTTTGGAGACAAACACCATCAGTCTAACATCCACAGACGATGACGATAGAGAAGACAAATCTGAGATTATACAGCTGCAATACGACGATGATGATGCCGATGAATACTATATTAGTGGAGACGATGAGAAGGAAGAAATTGGGCGGTTTGATAGCGATAATGAAGAAGAAGAAGAAGAAGAAGAAGAAGAAGAGCAAGGCTTGTTGACTGATCAACCTAGGTACAAGCGCATGAACCTCAAGGGCGAATCTGAATCAGACAAAGATCTCATCATCTACTCATTGAATGAATCATTGCAAATTCACAAGGAGATTGTCGAACGGATACAAAACGAAAAGGATGACATTGAATACCAATATGAGCAAGAGAGAGAGCTTGAAAATCAACAGATACAAAAAGAAAAGGACGAACGAGAGGAGGAAGCAAAGATTGCAGGCGAGAAATTAGGTCGATTAGAAGGATTATACCAGTCGTTGCTAAAAGAACTGGAGGCTAAAAAGTTGGATTATCGTCGAATGGAGAGTCGCTTTCACTCGCATGTCAAGAACATCCGTAATTCGACAGATCAAGTATCGATAGAACAGCAGCTGAGAAGTGTAATTCAAAAAGTGAGTGATTTATGTTTGCCATTAAGCGACACAGCTACAGCAAGTACATTGGATTACTTCTTTGGTTACTGGCCAGACATGATGCAGCATTTCTTTGAAAATGAAGAACTAGACACAGCAGCCATCTCCTTACTCACAGAAAAGTTATTGATGGACACAATTATGCAGGATATCTTGCAGACATCCATACATCCAGGTGTCTCCCTCAATCATGCATTTGGTAAAATACACCATTGGGTAGAGAAACGAAACACATCGTGGGCTGCTCGAATGAAGCAGCAGATCAGCAGTTTTGTTGTCAAGCAGTCAAATGAAGAGGCCGAAGCCATTGAGGCAGCTACAAATCGTATTATAGACACCACATCGCAACAACTATGCCAAATATACAACGTGGTGGATGCCAAGCAGACAAGCGAGATCAAGCTAAAATGGTCAAATATAGTGCACGATGCTCTTCAGCTGAATACCATGATCAAATGCCAAGAGCACCCTACAATAGAAATTCTACATATCGAGGAAGGCGCTTACTACAACGAGTCAACGATGGAAAGTAGCCGTGAGGGCGGTGTGGTGGCATTTGTTATCACGCCACCGTTTGTGGCTTCTAGCTCGTCAAGTGATGAAGATGGATTTATGATTCCAGCAAAAGTGTACTGCGTTTAGTCATTATTAGTTCATTGTTATATTTTAATCTCATTCATTTCCTTCACTCTTTCTTTTTCTCAATAAAAACCTACTAATTTCTATACCATATTGACACAGCCATGAACAAGGAGAATATGGCAAAGTATGCTATAAAACAATTTATTGGTAATCAGCAACAGCAGCAATCTGCAAACCATAGGCAAACTACAGAGCAGATACAACTGGAGCAACATCAAAAGAAGCGTTGGTGGAATAAAGCTGAATCACCCGATGCTATTCTTTCGCCTCACGAAAGAGACATTTTGAAACGAGTAAAAAAGAGAGCTATTCTTTTGGACAAGGGCATGAACTGCTGCTGCTGTCAAATTGGCTTGGATGGCATCGTTGGTAAGTCAAGCGCTTGCTCAATGTTTCAGGTACCTGATATCGACTGAAATTTATTGTCAGGTTTATTCCCGGTAGTGGGAGATGCTTTGGGCGTATTGTTAGCATTGCAAGTGGTTCATATGGCTATGGAGGCTGATTTGCCAACCTCGATAGTATCAAAGATGATGTTCAACATTACATTTGATTTCTTTATTGGTGTTGTCCCTGTCGTTGGTGATGTTCTAGACATCATGTTCAAAGCAAATACCAAAAATGCTATACTCTTAGAGGATTATCTGATCAAAAGAAAAAAAGGCTTGGTAGGTCCTTCTACAGGATCAAAAAGAGAGGCATTGCTACCTACTCATCATGATACATCTGGCGCTTCTGCTTCAACAACATTCCGTTAAATGCATATGATATCCTTAGACGTATCTGTGATAATTTACCCATTTAGAGTCATAAAATACCAATATAACACGAAATGCAGAATTTCAATGATGAAGCGTTTACGAGAGTTTAGTGTGAAAAATATCACTACAAACGTCTGTCAATTATGAATAAGGTGACACTTTTGCAGTTTGTACATCAAGATTTGTGATTCTATAACTAATTTGCAGCCCAGTTTGATTGTACTTGCTTACTTAGTGTTAGAAAAGGTCATCCAGGTATAATATCTGCCCGTATATAGATTGCTTTCAGTGCTCTAGACATGAAAGATTATAAGAGAGCTAGATTCCTCGACAGTACAAATGCCATGTTGAATGCTGCAAATCATGAGTAGGAAGCTGTAATCACATAATATATCTTAATGGTAATAAGCCAGGCTGACTGGCATTGCCAGATATGAAAACCTTCAACAAAAGCAAAAGAAAGTATTCAGATTATGCGATAGCCTTTCCAAATCAATTACCTCACTTTATTACAGACACAAAATCATATTTATTGACAGATCAATAGGAAACCAACTAGTTGTAAGCCTTCGCCGTTTGGACCTCTGAGCCAATCAGATTGCTCGAAAACTCCGCTAACCTAAAAAAAATTTTGCGAGGGTTTCCCCCTGTTTTGATGTGAGGCAAAATTTTAAGCTCCGCTATATAGCAATATAGCTGTAACTATCATCAAATTTTCCCCAGGTGCTAGAGCATGCCTTACTTACACCACCTAGCTTTACATTCAGGCATTGAGACCCTCAATCATCACTAAAGTAAGTAGCGATAACCAAGTAGAGGCAGCCTATCTACCTCCTAGCCTCGGATAAAGTCTTGTTGAGCTTCAGGGATAGGCACATCCACCACAACGTAAAAAAAAAGGTATGCTTCAAAGAAACATAATAATAATAAAAGAAAGAAGAAAAGAACATACTAATGTACTATAGAAGTATAGTAGTATGTAAGCAAAAAAGGAACACTCACACAAAAAAGTGAGACAAAAGAAAGGTATAACAAAGACAACATCAAAGATGTTCAGAACAGCTCGCTGTTGTTGCAACAAAAATGCATACATGAGCAACGTGCATGATAATAGTCAGATGTCAAGCAACACAAACACGCACAATTGCAGGAGCAACAGCAGTATTATAAGTGCGCAATACAACATAATGACTAATGTTGTTTCATGTGAAGCGACAGTGGCAACACAAACAACAATTCACGACCATATAACAAAGTAGTATTACGACGGCAATACAGATATATAGTAGTACATCATGCTTGTTGTTTATACATAAGAAGCAACAACATTGCAAGCATCCGTTGAGCCGATCATATCACAGCCAACAAAAAAAAAAAGAAAAAAAATGCAACAAAGCAAACATTACGAATGCATTATCACGAGAAAGGAAGCAATAATACAAACGCCCAGAGAAGCTTTATATCATTGCGACCACAAGAAAAAAAGATACTTACCACTTACCACACCCACGGATAGACCAGAAGAGAATAGGCAATCAACAGAGATAAAACAAAGAACAACCATACAACAGAGACAGCAGACCAAGAAAGACCAGACTAGCAGCAACACCAGCAGCAACACCATAGAAAAACCGAAGAGCGAGTGTCACCAGAGACCAGACAAAGACTAAAGAAGCAACCGCCAGAGATAGAGACCAAAGAAGAAACAACCAGACACGGTAAACCAAAGAAGCAGACAGCCGATATAACAGAGAAGTAATGACAACAGCACCGACGTCAAACAGGCAAAAAAATTATCAAAACCTAATAAACAAATTTAATTATTAGTGCTTATTTTACGTATGCTAGTGCTTGTTATTGAATGGTACCTACTATCATACTCCACTTCAAAGAAGTAGTATCAAGTACTTCTAACAGTACAAGGCTGTGTTATTAGAAGCTACTAGAGTATTATTATCATTCAAACGGTTTCCAAAACCAACATGGTTTGATACTAAACGCGTTTTGCAAAAAGGGTAAAAAAAAAATAGGGGTATGGGAAAGCGAGAGAACGCCATACCCGACGTCACGGCCAGTAGATTTGGCCTCAGTTTTCTGCCACAGCAGCTGTCGCTGCGGCACTCAAATTTAGATTTGTGCAGTTGTCATTTTTGTGTTCAAATTTGACTAGATCTGACTGATGAATTCGTAATAATAAGTCGATGATAATAATCAGTTGTCAACTGTATCTAAAACGAAAGCAAAGAGCTTCTTTATTACAGGGCATCTAGCTTGCTCAAATATGGTAGATCCCTGGTCAATGACTACTACGTTGAGATGGTATATAAATAGCAGGCCACTGGGGCCTTATGGATTGTTGGTATAGCTTGTTGAGAGGCCACCTAAGTCGGTATGTTTCATGTAGTGTAGGTGGATCTCGATATTTTGACATTGGGGAGATTGAATGTATTGTAGTTCCTGAGGCACCTGTGCACACACAATTGACTGGACTTGTAAACATAGATGTGATGTGATACGATAAACATCATCTATGCTGCTACACTGTAAAAGGTGGCTTGAGGAGAAAGTGAATGTAGCCTAAGATGCATGCTTGTATGCAACACTGACATTCTTTAAACGTTTCTGCTAGATTTGACTATGAAAATTGTCGTTGTCAAACCCAACTTTCTAATGCATTTATAAAGAGTCAATAAGGGCGCATCGAATGATGTTGGTTACATTGAGCTTTCAGACTGAAAATAATGAGCAATTTGTAAAAATATGAAAACAGGTCTTCTGTGGATATGCCAATATTCAGCATATAAAAGTTTTATAAAAGTAGCTTCCAATGTTGCATTTCATCTTTACCATCAACTTGATCTGATATGTATCATAGGAAACGTCTTCATTTTTGAGGTGAAAAACGCGATCGTTTGATTTTCAAGAATTTTCCCTTGCTAATACTCATGGAAAAACGATAATTTTTATGACTTTGCAGTGACCCAAAGAAAATCGAGATAAAACATTAGGAAGCAAATCGTGGTCAAGAGGAGGCGTGTGGTGCTATTCCAAGCGCTCAAAACGCTTTGTAGCATGAGTTATTCGTGCCTGAAAATGGCTAAATTTGAACAGAACTCGGCCTAAAACGACGATGTAGTGGGTTGCATTGCCAGAAGAGTAAGTAAATTACACTTCTGTCTGATGACCCAGATGTTCTGCATTGTACAGAACTCAATTTCCAAGTAATAGGCGCTTTTCTTCGAGTTCCATGGCTCAGATCTTGCTTATTGAAATGCGCGATTACAGTAATCTTGACACTTGAGAGTCAATGATATTATGCAATTTTAGATTTAACGATTTGCTCGGATTGAACGCACTTATGGTGGTCGCCGTCCACAACAGAGATATCATATCTAGTCGCAACAAATTTAAAGATTATCCTCGATGTTGCACACTAATAATGAAGGAGAAATGGTTAGTAGTGTCGGACACGCTGAGTCAGGGTCGATCAGCATGGTGGGGCCATAAGTAACAAAGCCTTGCATTAAAGTCAAGCAAATAGAAATGCATGAAATCTACAAATTCTGTAATGTAGTGGAATCTGGTTTAAATGATTCTACGGAGGTACACTGCCTAAAAGTATAATTACAACGAGATTGTCCAAAATCAGTCGCTCAAAGCTAACTTTTACTACAGTAGTGGGGCAAACAAGTTTTCTTTTGTGGGCTAGCATTAGTCAATGAGCGCGCTGGGTTTACTTTATGAACTACTTCAGCACCGTATATTCTTTGGCAGATTATTCAATTGTACGTTGTATTTTGATTTGACACACGCCACAGCTAAGCAAGATACAACCAACAAGCGGTTTTGAATTTAATGCTTATAATACCTTATTTACCAACTCACTACTTGCAATTAAGAGGTTGTTGTATATGTGGAAGAAGAAAGGAGATTTTTTGTTCAAAACGGTCTATGCGCTACAAGCAGCAGTCGTTTCATAATTGAAATTGGGTCAGCAGTTTTTATATTGACTCGCTGATGACAGAAGTCTCAAATTCCTAGCACTCTTAGTTCAGTATACCAAATCTGTCATTACTACTACAAGTAAACTTTTGAACATATATTTCATTTGTACAAAATTTCAAAAGAGCTTATGATAGTGTCTGTGTGATGGGAATAAAAGACCAAGCCGTCTTGTCTTTCGAATATCACTTTCAATACGAAAGCAATATCTAAAGGCGAGGAATTTCCTATTAATCAAGGTTTATGATAAAGAAATGTTAAAATACATGTCTTAGATTGTTGTCTTAATATGTTATTCTATAATTAAATGATGCCAGCCTTGTATTTGGGAACTGATATAGGAAGAATCCCAATTTTCTAGTTTCTGTATGTAGTGTATGGAGGGTTGTTTTGCTTGTATCATGACAGCACCTCATATGATCTTTTGTATCGCGTGGAAAGTTTTTACAAGATGCTCTGTAGAGAAAGTGATCCAGATCAGCAGAATGCCCACATATGTATGTAATTCAAAATCGTAACTGGATTATATACTTCATGCCATCATCATAGCTGAAAAGAAGTATTTATAGTCAAATGTATTATTGTTGTTTGAATTAATATTTTCAGACGCAATGTGAGATAGAATTTGGCAGCAGCACTATCAAAATGAGACATCTACTTGTATATAATAGATATTGAGTATGAAGAAACAACATAGACAATACTGCATCTCATAATGCTGGGCATTACTGATGATTATATAGTGTCAGAGGTCAGAGGTCAAAAATCGCCTGTCAAAACAGACACAGGCTAAATCTATTACAGCTGCCGGGGGTTAACAGAGTGTTCAAGTCTAGAATCTGATCCGCTAATGGGTGTGGTATATGCTTCAAGAGCCTAAAATAAAGCAAATAATTATGCATGTATTAAAGAAAACATCGATTCAAGAATTGAAAGAAATTTGCTTGAATGCTTCCTAAAAACATACATGAAACTTATGTAGGGGCTGAAGTAGTTGAATGACGATGACCTCCTGCAAAGCTGTATGCAGTGGCAAGCGTGTTTCTGCGTTCCTGTACTGCTGTTCTTTTATTGAATCATAAAGTCGAATCAAAAAATATTGATTACAAGCCAAACTGATCCATGATCTGCGTTTGTACTACTAATTATTTTACGTCAGACAACAATTTGTTTATCATTACGAATAAATTTAGATGAACAGAGCTAATAATTGAGCTTCATTGCGCTGCGTATATGTTGAAATGGTAATTGCTAATACGATGCAATATCCCTGAGTTCCAAGACAGATCAATATGTGTTTCGCCTTAATTGAATGCAAAAGATAAAGGCCGACGTTTCGACTTGAAGCTTCTTTTCTCTTTTTGTCAACAGCAACGTTGGATCAAAATACAATCTCGAGTACTTTAATAGGAATCTCGACAGGTGCCTCCTACTTGGATTTAAAAGATACACACGTGGATTGTTATTTTGTGTTACCTCTCACACTCTCTTTTTGTACCTATTTTTCAGCAAAAGGACCCCGATAAGATTATCTGTTTTCTTTTGTTTCTTCCCCATCTTCATTTTGAACAAAAAAAAATGTCAGTATCTGCAGTTTCCTCACCTTCCTCAGAGCAACCTCCCAATGTCGTTCCTCAGGTAAGACAATGCTTGTTGGATGGACTCTAACACTGGATGTGTACTAAGTTTCTTGGTGCTATCACACAGACTGTATTGAATAGTTATGTCGGCTTCGATACCATTACACAACAAATCGAGAAGAAGTTGTTGAAAAAGGGATTTCAATTCAATGTGATGGTAGTTGGTAAATAGTCCAGATTGTGGATAAAAAAAGCGAGAGAAAGTATACTAAATGTGCCTGCTGCTTAAATAGGCCAATCTGGTCTCGGTAAATCTACACTTGTAAACACCATTTTTGCATCGCATTTGATTGAGAGCAAAGGAAGACTCGAAGCATCCGAATCTACTCGTCAAACTACCGAGATCGAGGCAGTTTCTCATAGTAAGTAGTGATTGATTTAATTACTTGCTTAGATTCTCAACTAAATACTGTTTGTGTAGCCATTGAGGAAAATGGAGTTCGCTTAAGACTCAATATTGTGGACACACCTGGTTATGGCGATCAAGTTAACAATGACAACTGGTAATAGCAATAAAATCAACACATCATGTCATAGAATATTAAGCGCAAGTATTATAGTTGGGAACCCATTATCAAGTACATCAAAGATCAACATTCTGCTTACCTTCGCAAGGAACTGACAGCTAGACGTGAGCGTTACATTGTTGATACTCGCGTTCACTGTTGTCTCTTCTTCATCACTCCTTCTGGTCACTCGTAAGTTTGAATTCCAATTACCTGCAAAATTAGGAGGAGGGGGGGGGGGAGAATCTGCGTATTAATGCACTATTTAGTCTTAAACCAATTGACGTGGTTGTGCTCAAGAAGCTTTCTGAAGTTGTAAATGTCGTTCCTGTCATTGCAAAGTCTGATTCACTTACTACCGAAGAACGTGATGCTTTCAAACAAAGAGTAAGATTTGACAAGTAAACACACCAATCCAGATTACTGACGGCTTCCATAGATCAAGGCAGAACTGTCATTCCACAACATTAGATTATATCCTTACGAAAGTGAAGAAGATGAGGAGCAGGAAAAGTCCTTGAACGAAAGCATTTGGGAGTTGATTCCATTCGCTGTTGTGGGATCTGAGCGTAATGTAGTCATCGATGGCAAGGCTGTTCGTGGAAGAAAGACTCGTTGGGGAGCCATCAATGTTGAGAATCCTGAGCATTGTGAATTCATTCATCTTCGCAACTTTTTAACTCGCACTCATTTGCAGGATTTGATTGAAACCACCGCCATGATCCACTATGAAACTTTCCGTGCAAAGCAATTGATGGCCATCAAAGAATCTACCCAAATACAAAAGCCTGAGCCTACTTCATCAGAGTAAAACACAAAGACCTACCTACTATCTCATCTCCATCTAATCCAACCTTCCTTATAACCATTACTTTCACAAATTCCCCTTATAATGAAAGCTATTTATAAAATAATCGTTTATGCTGTTTGTTATTAATACATACACTAGCCATTGAGTTGTCTCTTAGGTACATGTAAAAGGATGTTTGTTGAAGGCGTATATGCAGCACCTATCATGCAGGGAAAGGTTGTTTTGCCACTGACCAAAGCTCATTACAGAGCCTACTAACTATTTTATTGATAAGCATTGTATTATAGTAGAAAAATAACTACTGTTAACCACACGAACTATGGAAGGTCAATTTTGCTTAAACATATAAATTTGAAATTGGAAGCCAATCTATAACCAGGCAATGCGTCAACATTTATCAGTCTCCTGATTCTGTATAGCTGTCCATAAATCCTTTGTACGTTTATTCAACAAGGAAATTTTATTGAGTATTTGCAGATCTATTGAAGGTTCTGTATCCCAACACTATTCTCAAACACCATCGGATCATATTGCGTATTCCGAACTGGCTTGAATTTCTTCTTGTTTGTCTTGGGTTTCTCGGTAGTGGAAGATGTTGTATGATAGCTTTCGTCATATTGTTGCTGTACAGATAAATTTGCATAGTAAGAGAGCTGCTGTTGTTGATGATGATGGGAGGCAGGCGTGGTGGGGTATGAATGGAGGTGAGGTTGGTGCTGATGATACCCGCCACCTGGTGTAGGCGGCTCAAATGATTGATATGTAGCTTGGTATATATTATTAAAGTAAATCTGTTGTCTTTTGTTGTAATAGTAATTTTGTTGCAATTGTTGCTGTTGTTGAAACTGCTGTTGTTGCTCTTGCTGCTGGATCGATAGATACCAATACATCATATTGGAAATGGCTACCTGCTGCTGCAATGGACGTCTAGGATTCCCTAATTTGACGTGAGAAAGACGATAAATCGCACGCTCTGTGCTGTGTGGGTATCGTTGAGGAAGTGGTGGAGTGTCCCTTCGGGTCATTGTGTGCTTTGAAACTTCTGACTCTAATTTCTTCTTTTTAGGTTTAGCATTGGATGGTTTTGTTGGCGATAGCGATAATGATGATGATGATGGAGATGTTTGTTGAGTTTTCACGGTATTTGAACTTTTAGTTTGAGTCGTTTCTTGCTTTCTACTAGATGACGATGGCGATGATGACCTTGAGAATAAGCTCGATAGCCCAGCTTTCTTTGATTTCTGAGGCTTGCTCGTTTTTTTGAGGTCTTGCAATAGTCCGCTAAACCAAGATTTTCTATCTTTCTTTGAATGAGAATCTGCATTGAGTGTATCAGGAGATTTCGCTGTTATTACTACTCGAGGCACATTGATCGGCGTCTGTTCCTTTGGCTGCGGTGTGGTGGATTGCTTATGCATAGGTGGTGGCTGCTCTAATTGAATCGACAAATTATTCTCCATTTGGTTCAATGATGCCTCCTGTTCTATGCGGTTTGCTTGGCGGCAAAGGAGAGCTTCAGTAATTTTCTGGTCATTTGCCTCCTCTTTGCTATCTTTTCCAGGCTGATCCTCCTTTAATTTTTCAGCAAAGGTATCTAAATTATGCCAGAATTCACAACCACGTTACTTTAAAAGTCAAAAAGAAACTTGGAATCACAAACCTGGTATCAAATGCATTGTGTTTGAGGTTGTTGGAGTAGCAGGTTCCTCCTCTTCATCACTGGTATTGCTTCCACTGCTATTGCTATCATCGTCTGTGGCATTAAAAGACAGCGTCGATAAGACAGTTCTCTTCCTTGATACTGTAGCACTCGTATGTTTATCGCTTGTGTGTATTTTGATCCAATCGTTGTATTTATTTGGTGAGATTTGAGGACGCTTGTCTGCAGGTACCCTATGTATCCATGACAACATATTAGCGATTCCGATCAGACATGATAAATTGATTGAGTACCAAATAGAATTAGAAGCTGAATTGCTAGTCGCATGGTTCGCCACCATTATATCATCATTCTCATTGCTGAAATCAATTAGATTTGCGACGAAAGGCGGTACTTTCTCTGAATCCTTCTCAGTAGAGCTGATATCATTGAATTTGAGCGGTGTCAAGTCGTAGTTGATGATAGACTGAGATGGCAGAATGAAGCTGTCTTGATACATGCCTGCAGTCAATTTGACCGCATCTTTATTATCACTCGGGATATCGACCTTCTCGATAATGTCCATAATAGCAATACAAAAAAAAATGTGTTTACGGGAAAGAAGAAAAGATATGATGGCAACGGTGCATCTCATTTATATACTTTTTTCCATATCAATCTCCCCTCAAATATATATGGCTCACTCCCCCCTCTTTCTCTCTTTCTTTCAATGGATATCCGATTCGCTCTTTTCAGTTTTGATCATGCAGAGGAGACACAAACATCATAGAGTTTAGTGTCACAAATGAAAAGTGTAATCAACCCATAAGTTATTAATATAAATTTTTAATAAAAATGGGATTATTGTATGTTTAAGGGGAACTATCTGCTGTCGTATGTACACTGTGTGTCTGTGTTATGTCCAGCCTTTAAATTACTTTGTAATACATTGATCTCTCTACAGGTCTCTCCACAAGGTATCAGCAGCACAGCAAATGGAGAATGAGCATGGCTGTTGTTTCCTTTTGGACACAAGAACGAGAACCTGGCATACACTATCAGATTGACAAAAGCACCATGTGTTTGTAGCAATGGGCCGTGATTGCAACACATTTAATACACTTGTTGTGTGTTGTGCCTTATGAAGAACATTCTGCTTCGCATATGTTTCAGTCACTTTATAGTTTGCGGGTCGTTTACCTAAGTTTTCCTTCCGTAACTTCTATATCAACCATTTATGCAAATACAAAGTATATATAAATAAATACATTTTCACTGAGCTCAACTTGCTAGGTGGTACATCTTGGCTCATAGCGCAAAACTGATCATGTCCAGTGAGCTGGCCAACCAAATGTTAGGTGCCTACTTTTTCATTGAAGCACTTGCTCAGTCAAATGTCATCATAACCGTAGCATGAAGCCACCATAAATAATAGTGTGCATGTCATCAGAACAAGTAAATGTGTACATGTAGATTGAAAATCTACCAACTTTTATTAATGCGATAAAAATGATAATGAACGAGAATAAAACTAATCGGTAATGCCTAACTCTTTCTTAAAAGCTTCAATGGTAGCTTTATCAGCACTGTGCTTCAAGGAATCATCGCTAAGCTTGATAACACGCTTGCCGTTGCACTCCTTGAGCTTGATCACAATATTCAAGGCTTTGCTCTTGACGCTCTTGTCGCTCACCTTTTGGAAGTCGTTGGTCAGGGAAGTGCCAATACCGAAACTAGCCTTGATGCCGGCCTGGATAGCTTGATCGTGCAGATGAATAGCACGCTCGACGTTCAATGAGTCTGAGAACACAATGGTCTTTGTGCTGGGATCAATGCCAATGGATTTGTAATGAGCCACCATGGTATTGATGAAATCTGAAGCGTTGCCAGAATCTTGGCGCACGCCAGTGTATTTGCTAGCAAGATCATAATCAAAGTCCTTGAGGAAAATGGGTGTAGTAAAAGTGTCTGTCAAGGCGATTCCGAGGTTTCCCTTATAGACATTGTACCAAATGTTCAGAGTATCGCGATTAGCATGCTTCACACCTTCCAATGCAGACACAGCCATGAAAAATTCATGCGCTATAGGAAATGATCAATTATCCAGCTTTTCTTTCTGCATTGATCATGAACAAATGACTTACCAACTGTACCAATAGGAACCGCATTGTACTTCATGGCAAGAAAGACATTACTGGTACCAGCACAATTTCCCTTGGGTGCTTGATCTTTTGCAGCACAATCCTTCTTGTATTGCTCGGTTGTCTCATAAATAGCCTTCATGACTAGATCATGCGTTTTGAAATCTCTTCTTCTGCGAGTACCGAATTCAGAGAATAAGCAGCCATGCTCCAATAAAGCCTTTGTCTTTTGTTCAGCATGCTCCACTTGATGATCATAGTTCCAATCACGATCCGTATAGCGGAAGTAAGCTTCCGAGATCAAAGCCAACAAGGGAACCTCATACAAGATGGTTTCATGCCATTTACCTCTCACCTCTAGCTCCAAATCACCAGTTGCTTCGTCGTAGTTCACCATCACTTGCTCTTCAGGCTTGTACTGGTATTGAGCGAGATAATTGATATAATCGGCATCCAGAAAAGCAAGGCGTGATAAGAACTCACGCTCTTTCTCTGTCAATTTCAAGAGAGCCATATCTTATGAGATAAAGAGAGAGAGAGAGAGAGAAAAAGCAGGGTTCAGTATACCAGACAGGGCAATGCCATCCCACACATTGTACCTTTAATCTGCTTTTTAAGCCATTGCACAGCTTCAGCATTCAAATGAAGTTCCTTTTCGCGGTTGGTGAACTGGTATACGACAGGGATATCTTTGTTGTAGTGCTTGAGAACAGCATGTTGCATAGTAAACTTGTAAAGGTCATTGTCTAAAAGAGACATGAGGGATTCATGTTGCGTAGTTGCCATTCTGTTCTGGTTCTTTGGTAGGAAATTTAGTGGAAGACAATGGAAAGAAAAAGGTTTTTTAAACCCTTCTGGTTTACCTTTCCGGAGTTAATCAGATTACACACGAAAGATAGCTCTCGCTTGGTGACCGTGATGATACGAAAGAGGGGTGTACATCAGTTTCAAATAATGATTATATTGATGTTATCTCACGATGATCAAATAGATAATGGGAGTCATCGCTCCATCACTCTTCCTCATTTCAGGTGCGCTTTTTTTGGCACGGTTTTGATCGTCATGGACTATGGTATTATTCAAAGGGTAGCAAGTAGCACCAAGTTTGGGCGTACAAAAGATGACAACCTGACTGTTTGCAGCGATTAAGCATTTTAGTGCAGGTTTCAATGATTTAGATTATGTTCCTTTTGAATCTGATTGACTGTAGAGATACGTATAGTTGCTTTCATATGGTACTTTTGTGTCATGCAACAACAGGACGATTTCTTTAATGAAATCTTTCAGCACCTGTTGTATATATATATATATATATATATATATATATATATATATGTGTTTATTTTGCAAATCTTGGTGTTTATAGCCTAAATACCCTTGACAAGAAAGTTATGGTAATGCTGTCAGATGAGAGATCAAAGCAGGCAAACTGTAGTAATCATCTCCTGGAGGGATTCCACATGTAAAATAGAGCTATAGCATTGAACGAGTTGCGTTTATTCTAAACTAAAATATATGGATATAAAAGGTATCATCAACCTTAAAACTTTGTAACAGGCCCTTGCGTACGAGGACTAATATAGAGCGCGGTTGCCTCAGTCAAAATGACGGGTGTATCATCAATAGTTTCAATCCATGCTTTTCCCCAGGCCTTTCTGCCTTCAAGCTTCTCTAATTCACCACGAATTACTACCCACTGGTCTGAACGAATGGGTTTGCGGTAGTTGACGTTTAAATTGGCAGTGAATCCAGTGAATCCAGGTAAGCTTGGAATTGTCTGCGCACAGAAGAGTGAATATCAGATCAGTCAGGTAGCTGGTGCACACTTACCACATATGCCAACATTTCGTCCAAAACAGTAGCTGCTAAACCACCATGAATAATGCCATCATGACCACATCTATAATACAATGATGAGTACACGCACTATCAAGGGGTAATTTGTTTATTGCTGCTTACAAATTACTTCCAAAATGGATCAACATGACACATAAAGTTTTCTCCTTGTTGAAAAACTTGACAGGTCTTTTGCCAATCATGCCAGAACCTCTCAATGTAGTAGCAGTGAGTGAATGCGATCTAGCTGAATCAGACAGATGCTCATAAGCTATCACCTCCTCCCAGTCATTCGAGGCGCGAAGCTCTTGAATTAGCTTAATTGACTCTTCTTGATCAGCTAATGCCTGTTCAACATCTTCAATCTCCTCAACATTGTAGGGAGCTTTTTCATTGATGGTAGCATCAAAATCAATTGCTGTACTAACGGCAGTCATTTGTATAAGCAGGGAAAGAAAGAGGAAGAAAAAGAAGAAGGTATCATTACACAAGATAGCCTCTTTTATACGTTTTTTGTGATTTCGATTGGTTTATAATACGATATGTACATTTGTCCGCTACTACCAACACAACAACAAAGAATTCGATCCCACGATATTCTGCTTTCATAGATAGTGGTGCCTGAACCTTTATCCTTTTTCATTACATCCATTTATCTCCTCTGCCTTCAAATTCTACACGACACAGACCTGCAGATCCACCAGAAGCCAGAAATCCGCATGTTTGTTTATTTGGATTCCAAACCACCTACAAAAGATAGTTTACCCTGATGAGTGCCTGTGTTTGTGTTACATGTTGAAAATTGACATGTTTCTGCTACCTTTTGAATGGCCATGTGGGTTTTGCCATAGATGCGAAACGATGGAAGTGCTTTTGATTCAGGCATATTCTATATTGAAAACAAACTGTTACTAAGAAAACAAAGCTGGATGGCATGGCACGATCTTACCAATATCCCTATCCCATCCACGTATCTATACTCGTCGTTATCCTCATCGTAATAGAGTCGATATATTCCATTTGTAGTGTTGGTCAGACCTCTGCTCTTGACTTGGTATATATTGCCACTGATGACATATCCAACCGCAGATGAGCATGCGAATTGACCGTGATGCTCAGACGCCGCCATGGACCAGCACACACCGGGCAGCTCACCAAACTTTGTCTGGGACAATGAGCCATCCACATTAATAGAAATGCCTCGGAGCATACTTTCACCATCACAAAACACCTTCATGGTGGAGTGTCCTGGCCATACACATGCATACATGATACCTTGTATTGCAATAAATCAGCAAACACAGTAGCGAGCCATAGGACATACACCTTACCTCTTGCTCTCTGCAAAGTGAATGGAATGAATGGGTCGTTGATATCCAGCATGGCCAGCCTACCATCATAGCCAGTAACCAGCAATTTATCGGGGTCATCAAATCCTCGCCATGTTATGCATCTCACACTTGCATCAAGCGTATTGAACGATAGCTCGAGATATTTCCTGGACTTTTCCACCGTATTCGAGTCGTCGCCTTCAAGCGCTGCCTCCATATTCCAAACAACAACAGCACCTATGCCTCACGTTAATAAACCCACCGCTTGTGTTGATTGATGCAGGCTTACCATTGATATAGCCAGCCGCTATCTTTCTATGACTACCCCACGATATCACAAGTGACTTGGTACCCTCAAGCGCAAAAGTACATCTGGATGACTCTATACGCACTATCATGTATGTATCTGTCAGACACAGCTCGCAGATTGACAATCCATCTTTTACTTACAGTACACAGTAGCCTGTGGATCCACATCATCACGACACATGTGCTTTCTGACAGCATTTGGATGAGGCACGACAAGCGTTCTAAGTGTGCCATCACCACAGGTTATCGCTAACACGCCTAGCTTCGGTAAGCCTTCATTTACATCCTATTAAATGATTGAGCAGCCATTCATACAGGCCAGTGTTTATGTTTTTTTTTTTACCTCATCTTCATAGGCGCCGTACGGACACCATTTCAAATCATGAATGACACCAAAATCATGCAATAAACACACATCTAAAATAGGGTCCTCTGACGGTTGCTTGGTCGACAATTTCAGTTTCCAGATCTGTATAGTATTCTTGTATTCTCCTGCCATTTGTATCTCATTCAGCTCATGATGCTCTGACACAGCACCTTTATATCCAGCAACGGCAAGGTATTGTGTAATTGGATCTGAATCATTATGTGATTTAGGTGCAAAATCCAGTCCCCATATGCTTCCTCCAGTGTTGATCACATAGCCCTTTTTGTATTTAAAGCGTTCATCTATCGCCATCAATTTCGATTATTAAGCGGTCTCATGCATTGGGTGGACATTGATGTACCTAGTTTGAGTGATTCGCCGTTGGATATACTAGTTGTCTTTTTCTCGTCTATGCCTAATGTCACTTTTAAAGGATCTGTTCGTGTGGGCAGGTAAGGCAGGGCTTCACTAAAGTTTTGCTCAGACATTAATTCACATATTAATGCGTCGTGATATTCACCTTTTATCCACCAATTTCCATTCCTTTGCAATGGCATGCACATTTTCATACACTTTCTGATCGTACAAATGCGATGCGTCAAGCAGATAATTAGCAGTGGGCCCTTCGAAATCGTACGCCAGCCCTTCAACAGAGGACAATAGTTGATTGATTCTGAAATTATGGGGCTTTGGTCGTCCCATTTTAAGCTATTTGAAAGATGTAAAGGAAAAGAAGATGTTTTTTTTTTCTTTCCTCATTGATATTTTTACATGAATTTTTTCAATTGAATGCGGTCACTTTTAAAAAGATACAGCTTAAAGATTTGGCATTTGCGTATCCTGATGTCGCAAAAAAGTGGTGCTTATCGCACCTATTAAAGGGGCATAAGACAAAGTTGGCTGGAATATGTCTTGCGCAGTACTGCTGCTACTGTAGAGGTCATTAAGCAAATGAAAAAGTGCTTTCCTACTTGAAATATCGCATGCAAATCTATTCAGGGTGACAAATTAACATTTCAAGTTTGGCTTTGCAATTTGCAGCAATTAACTTCATAGAATGAAAAAAAATCCTATAGTAAAAGCTTTAAAAAATTAGTCAGAGCAATCCCTAATACTTTTCAACTCGCAATTTTGTTGTTGTAAGTTGCTAAATCGTTGATTACCTTCACAATGAGAAAGGCCTCATCATTCTTGTCAGCAGCAGCCGATTTTTGAAACTCCGTGTTGACAATTTTGCTCCAAATTGGCCAGATTCGATCAGATTCGACTTGAATTTTATCTATTTCTTAAATTCGACTATATAACTTGTGATGATGGAGCCATACTTCCTTATGCTACAGTCCCTGGTGGTAGGGCGAAGTGGTAGAAACTCCCGTATGCCAACGGGAGGATCCTGGTTCAAATCCTGGTGAACGCAAGTTGTTTGATTTTTTGAAGTAGTACTGATGTCCTCGTTTGGTGTTTTGTACTCTATCCATTATCTATATTTTGACGATTTCCGCAAGACTGTTTTGGCTCTAGGTGTCGCACCTTATTAGTAGTAGATTTCTTTCCCAACTTAATTCAAAAATATCTTATTCCCCTTCTTTGCAGACATTGGGTCCACCAACAGTCTTTTCTATCCCTCAGTATGACATTTAAAGGACTTTAAATAAAACCTGAAGCTCGACTCCCCTACAAAAAAAAATACTTCCTTATGCTTTCTTGGAGTGCTTTTCAAGGCGCACTCATTGGTATTAATTAATGTAGATGTTTTGAATGTGCTTATAGAGCAATTATTGAAAATACAAATTGAGGTTTTTTAGGAAAATGTTGAGATTTTTCATATCAAGGTCTCCCAATTTAAGTTTTAGGTGCTGCTTTGGGTCAAGAGAAACATTTTGATTTAGTATATGTCATAGTAACGAGCCGTTTGAACGTAGGTTGGTTTCCACCGAAGCGAAGCGTAGGTCAGGAAACCACCCGAAGTGCTGAAAGGCTCGTATGTCATAGTAAAAGTCTTCGTTTTCGCGGTCAAAAACGCGATCGTTTGATTTTCGATGAAAAGCATGAGGTATCCTTCACGGTTTTTAATCGAATTTTGACAACTCCAAAAAAAGTTGGGCAAAGGTGTCAGGAAGTTGTTGCTAATTGAGAGCAACTGTTTGGTGCTATTCTGGCGGCCTAAAACAACCTCTAACACGAGAAAACATTGCTCAAGTGAATTCATATTTCTCTGCGCTTTGCATACTCATAAGTAGTAAGTGCCATGCAATTATGCTGCCTGCTCTTAAGTGAGTTGTTTCCATTCAAGTAGACGCATGGCATTATAGCAGAGGAAGATCCACAATTTCAGGTAACTTACGAAGTGATCTTAGGTGGTATCAAAAGATTAAATGGTGAAATACTAGTAAACAGTAGTGCGTAAACTAATGTTTGAACAAAGCGCGTCTAATCGCTTTGAAATACCAAAAGCATAGTATAGACAAATATACCAACGTCTTTCAAGCATTTTGATGCTTTATACAAGTGGTATAAGTAACATTTTTGTTGTTTTATTATTAAGATGAGGGTGTAATGCGTATTTTTAGGGGGTTTCAGAGTCGTACTTTCCTAAACTGAATTTTGTAATGTATAGATATGCTATAGGCATACAACTTATACCATTCAATAGCCAAGAAGCAAGGGCTTTTATGAAATAAAGAGCGTAAGTGGTTCAATTGAAAGGATGCTGTAGCAAAGGTTCAAACTGGAGTTTTTTTTTTTCTATCCATGTCTGAAAAGCACACCTGAAGTTAAATTCAAGCTGTTTTAAGATTGATGCCCCTTTTGTCCCAATGTGTGATTATTTTTCTGAATGTTTAAATTTGCTATTGCTTTACGATTGCTTTTATTGAATCGCAGGTATGTTCCGTTATGATAAACATCAACCTTTCTATCAATGGCAATGTCTGTTTGAATGTCTATAATTCAGGACGCATGGATAAATCAGTACTGACATAAGCCTAAGGGGCAACAAATACAGTAGCATAAACAAATTTCTTATGGTACATCACTTGATCAAATGATGTATATAGGTCATTGGTAGTATGTGCAACTTACATATCCATGTAATTGAGCTGCAGTGTAGCATCTGCAGACCTTATCATGATGAAATAATGAGCGTGTTGGGATCATGCATCAAAACATTGAAAGAATCTTTACCATAGATATCAAGGAGCAACTAGAGAATACATCACTGTATTTTTTTTTTTTTTTTTTTTTTTTTTTTTTTTACTATTTTGATAGCACTATCGCTTATGATGGTACTACAAACTAGATACATGTATCCACCGACAAAAACTCAAATCTTGGGAATACAAATCCAACAAAATGATCACCCTTCAATGACGTACAAATACTCTAAATACTTTCCTCAAAAGGGAATGCTCTTTAGGATTTCATAATACAAAATGCACTGACAGCAAAAATGCAACAGCAAGTTTTAACCGATGGATCAACTCCGAATACTTGGGCCACATACCCTTCAAATGTACCTTATGAGCATTCTAGTCTGGGGATTGGATGGTTTGGTGTAATATGTTCGATGGACACGATGAGGGCCACGCCCATTTTGATTTTCAAAACGTGGGGTTTTGTCGTGAGTTTTGTGTTCATATGTAACTTTATAAATGCACAAATCAGAGGACAGATTGATTATATAATTCAAATTGTAAAGCGCCTTTATTTTCTGCTTCTTCTGTGGCTAAAAGATTCATAAGCTCATGAATCAAAGGGAGAAATGCTTTTGAGATAAAACCTCCCCTGTTTATATACTTTTGGCACAGTCAAATCAACCATGTGTTTGGGACAAGACGAGAAATTTATTGTGACACTTTCAGCCTACATTTTCCCCGCATTTTAAATAATAAAATGCGGGTTTGCCCGGATGTGCTTTAAATGAAAATGTATTCCGCCTTACCCTTTGTTCTAAAAGGAAGAAGTGATTGTTTGTTAATGTACATGAACAAGGGTCAAGAACTCTAATGGGCGGTGAATGTAGACAGTCTGGGTGTGATGACGGTTACGATGGCAACCAACATCTGAGAAAGAGATGGCGTTTACCAACAGCTTTTTGTATGAAATTTGAACGGGAAACCACGGATGTAGTTCATTTACATCAGCTACTAAAGGCATTACATATTTGCTTTCCGCTGAAGAACGCGTTAAAAATATATCCCGAGTTGTTGAATACAAATCCCTTTTACCGCCGTCGTCACCCGGGCAAAAAGGGAGAGGGCCCTTTTTCAATGTGGAAAAGTAAATAAAGATTTCTTCCCCACTTATTTATATAAAACTCATTTTTATTTTTCCCCACTCTCTTCAGCCTTTTCCTTTCTCTTGATTAATAATTCATAATGCAATATTCTCGTGTATCACCTCTTGCAAGTAGAATCACTCGTCTTTCTGCTTCGAAAACCACAACCGCTGCTTTGCGCAACTTGTCTCAAGTTAGAAACTTACACGTTCAAGCTCCTGCAGCTTTATACACTGTAGGTTACGATCGTTTGAGGTATTAAGATGGATCCAAAATTGGGTTGGAAGAGAGATTTAGAGAAGGGAGCAAGAGAGAGAGAGATGGCATCAATCAACATTTGAGATCTGGCATTGATTAACATTTGTAAAATCATAGACAATCAAGTGGCTTCAAGAACGGCATCTTTGTGAATCAAATTAGAAATTATGGTAACGTATACCAAGGAGAAGAATTCAATAACAAGCTAGGGGTTACTCATTTCTTATTCATTTCAAAACAATAGCTGACAAGGTTGTCAAGGTTCCCCAGATGGCGGAGTCTATCTCTGAAGGTACCCTTAAACAATGGGTGAAGCGTAAGTAGCTGAAATGTGTGGTTAATGTGCATACAATGGTTTGCTTATACTGGTATATCTTTTGCAGAGGTTGGTGATTTCGTTCACCAAGATGATGAGGTTGCCACCATCGAAACCGATAAGATTGATGTCACCGTCAACTCTCCTGCATCAGGTACCATTGTCGAGGTGTACGCTCAAGAAGAAGACAATGTCTCTGTTGGTGCCGACTTCTTCAAATTGGAGCTTGGTGATGCACCAAAAGAAGGTTCGTGGGAATTATATCACTCACTGTATCACTTTCTGTATATTTACTCTATGATTGTAAACAAAAACATTAGGTTCCGCCCCTGCTGCCAAGAAGGAAGAACCCAAAGAACAACAAGCTGAAGAATCAAAACCTGCTGCTGCTGCTGAACCCAAGAAGGAAGAGGCTCCTAAGAAGGAAGAAGCTCCCAAGCCTGCCGCTCCCTCTACCCCCAAGCCCGCCGCTGCTGCTGCTCCCAAGGCTGAAGAGACTGAGAAGGTGTATGGTAGCCGTAATGAGTCCCGTGTCAAGATGAACCGTATGCGTCTCAGAATTGCTGAACGTTTGAAGCAATCTCAAGATACCGCTGCTTCATTAACCACCTTCAACGAAATCGATATGACCAACTTGATGAACCTTCGTGCTGAATACAAGGATGCCGTTGTTAAGAAGCATGGTGTCAAGTTTGGCTTCATGTCTGCCTTTGTCAAGGCTGCTGCTGAAGCCTTGCACGAAATCCCTGCTGTCAATGCTTCCATTGATGGTCAAGAAATCGTCTACCATGACTTTGTTGATATGAGTGTTGCTGTCTCTACTCCCAAGGGTCTTGTCACTCCTGTTTTGAGAAATGTCGAGGATATGGGCTTCATTGATATCGAAAAGAACATTGCTGAGCTCGGTAAAAAGGTAAAGCTTAAATGGATTTGCGTCGAGAACAAGGTTTACTCACAAGGAAGATGATATTAGGCTCGCGATAACAAGATCACTATTGAAGATATGGCTGGTGGTACCTTCACCATCTCCAACGGCGGTGTCTTTGGTTCTTTGATGGGTACTCCCATCATCAACTTGCCTCAAACTGCTATTTTGGGTATGCACTCCATCAAGGAAAGACCTATTGCTGTCAACGGAAAGGTAAGAATAGAGTGCGAGTGAGAGATGATTGGTGTGCGTGAAACTAATACTGTTTTTATGACATGTAGGTTGAGATCCGTCCCATGATGTACGTTGCTCTTACCTATGATCACAGACTCGTTGATGGTCGTGAGGCCGTTACATTCTTGGTTAGAATTAAGGAACTCGTTGAAGATCCCAGAAGACTTCTTTTGGGTGTTTAAATTAAGCTTATATATATGAAAACAAACCCATAACGATAAAGACACTACCTATTTGATTTTCTTTCTGCATTCTTCCATTCTTTTTAATGAATAAAACAAACAATAATATACTACATGTATACGCGTATACTAGATTTGCTGTCATTCTTGAATGTGAGTTTTTGTAGTGGTTTGCATGTTTATTTATGAATAAATCGCTGTTCATATGAGCATAATTGTAGGTTTAAACGTCAAGTAGGTTCAAACATAATAGTAACAGCCTGTGCCATCGGGAACAGTATTGGTATAGTTGATGAGGGTACCGGCTTTCTTTCTCTGCTGTTGCAATTGGTGCATACAGGCTTCAATGCCGAATTGCTCATGGTGGAAGTAGTAAGGAATTACTGGCTTAAGAGGTTGAGCGTTTAGATCCATGGCCTGTCTGATAACTGGAGTAGTTACACCTTCGCGTTTTATACTTTCTTTAGGGAGACTATCGTTAGGCACGAGAGAAGGAAGCGCATTTTGGACGTAAGAGTTAACCGTTTGATAAAAAGGATCAAACCTGTTAGCCTCTAAACCTGGGGTAAGCAAGAGCAAGCTTGAAACGGGTGGGAGAGGAGGTAGGTTCTCACCACGGATTACCAATTGATTAGAAACAGCTTTTTGTACCATGTTAGTGCCTTGTGGGCGTTCACCAGATGGAGCAGAGGTAACAGATTCCTTGGGGAGCACTTCAACGACAAGCTTCTCTGCCATAGTAGGAGAAGTACGTTCAGTCAGTTGTATTTCAGTATTGAGTTCCTCTTTCACAGTGACTTTAGACTTCTTGCTTTTCTTATTCTTCTTTTTCAGATCACCATTGGTATGCTCATTCTGTCTCTTCTTGTTAGGATTGACCATTTTGAATTGACAAATGTGGAGGAAAAAAAAAGAAGGGCTGGTGTCTGGCAAGATCTCGCCTTTTTTGCACTGATTTGGCCTTCTTGCTCTCTCTGAGAGCATATCTATTGCTGTAGAGCAGTGATATGAGTGGTGCTTTGATGGACTGGCTTTTTCGCGCTTGATCCGTGTATGTGTATATGGTGTATCGAATATGAGCATTGACGTGAATGTCAGGATCTGTTATCATTGGTGCATGCGTAACCATACCAGCATATCGTTTCCTCCTAGTAGTAGAGTATATTCAGACAGTTTTTCTGTTCATGAAAGGAGATAATTTGGATAGATAATGTACTGCAATGACTAGAGTAAATGCTGATTTAGTTCTCAAGTATGTGTTGCATTTGTGTAATATAATAGTGCGGTACCTGATTTTTTTGCAACGTTGCATGAAGTTGGGGCTATACGACTCATAAAGACTTGATAATCAACTATGAGTGGTTTTAATCCCTACCATGGTAAGGAGTCTCTCAAAAGGTACATAAAGACATGACTCAGAGCTTTAAATCATCGCGCCTTGATTACTGTCTAGATAAAGAAGTTTTTAGCCTTAATAAAAGAAAATTTTCAACAAAAAGAATGTTGTGTTAGAACACAGACCTCTTTCTAGACCAGTAGAGCTACTTATGAGCCTTGCACTTTGTACCAAGCTCCTGCGTTCCCTGTAAAGACTATGAATTTAGAACACTGACTTGTAGATTGTATTTAGTTTTATAATCATTGCATCTAGTTTAAACTATTTTCTTATAAGACTCTGCTATGATTTTGTATAATCTACGCTCCTCTCGTAACTGTGAAATTGAGATATCCAATGTATAATTCAATTCCTTTTTTGTCATTGAGAGCAAGACTGTCTGAGGTGCATCGCTAGTATGTGCTACAATAATCATAACAATAAATTTATGGTCCCTAGACACTTTCAAAGCCTCCAAAAGGACAGAAGTTAATCGTACAAGTATTTGGTGGTCTGATGTTGTGAAAAATAAGACCTAAAAAAATAGCATGGATAACGACAGTATTATGTAATTCGCAACCTACTTTCTAATAGCTTCAAGAGCATCTATTATTGCTTTTATGATTAAAAGAATGTTGAGTTTGCCAGCAGGCCCCACCAGCCGCCAAAATCAATTTAATATCAGACTTTTAGCTTACTCCAGATTGGCCAGATATTGATGGTTTTTCGACTCGTTTCATCTATTTTGCCAGATTCGACTATAAAAATATCATAATCAACCCATGCTTCTTTAAGCTGGTCCCTGGTGGTAGGGCGAAGTGGTAGAACTCCCGTATGCCAACGGGAGGATCCCGGTTCAAATCCTGGTGAACGCAAGTTGTTTGATTTTTTTGACCTAGTACTGATGTCCTCGTTTGGTGTTTTGTGCTCTTATCCATGATCTATATTTTGACGATTTCCGCAAGACTGTACTGGCTCTAGGAGTCGCACCTTATTAGTAGTAGATTTCTTTCCCAACTTAGTTCAAAAAATATCTTATTCCCCTTCATTGCAGACATTGGGTCCACCAACAGTCTTGTCTATCACTCATAGCGACATTTACAGGACTTTAAATAAAACCTGGAGCTCGTCTCCCCTACAAAAAAAAAAAAAAAATGCTTCTTTAAGCTAGCCCGTGATGGTAGGGCGAATTGGTTAAGCATCCAACATGCCATCTGGATGATCCCGGTTCAAATCCCAGTGAACGCAAGTTGTTTGATTTTTTTGACGTAGTACTGATGTCCTCGTTTGGTGTTTTGTGCTCTTATCCAGTATCCATATTTTGACGATTCGCATGATTGTATTGGCTCTAGGTGCTGCACCTGATTAGTAGTAGATTTCTTTCCCAACTTAGTTCATTATATATATCTTATTCCCCATCATTGCAGACATTGGTTCCACCAACAGTCTTTTCTTTCCCTCAATATGACATTTTAAGGACTTTAAATAAAACCTGGAGCTCGTCTCCCCTACAAAAATGTTTCTTTAAGCTTTCTTGGAGTGCTTTTCAAGGCGCATCCAGTGGTACCAAGTAATATAAATGTTTTGAATAACTTATTGAGTGATTTACAAAAATATGAAAAGAGTTTTCTGGCCAAAAAGTCGAAATTTTACATACCAAGGTCCCACAAAGATGATATCAAGCGTTACGATAGATCGATAGAAACATTTTGATTTTATATAAGCCATATTAAAAGTCTTCATTATCAAGGTGAAAAATGCGATCGTTTGATTTTCAATGAAAGCCATGAGGGGTACCTCATGCTTTTTGGTCGATTTTTGTCCATGTTTTTTGATCCCCAAAAAGTTGAGCAATAGTGTCAGAAAGTAACTCCTAGATGACAGCAATTGCTTGGTGCTACTCTGACGGTCTAAAACGGCCTTGAACGCAAGAAAACACAGCTCAAATGCGCCCAGATTTGCTGTATTAGGTGCACTCTTGACTAGAAAGGGGTAATATTAGTAAGCTGTTTACCCGTATATGATGCAGCTACGTGTATACAAATGTGAAACATCTCATAAAAGTTAGACCCACAGATAATATGAAGGTTTTCACCGAAGCAAAGACAAGATAAAGAGCCATCCGAGGTATAAACACGCTCGTATTCTACAATAAAATAGAAGAAGGAAACAAATGTTCTGTAGCCTCAAGCTTAAAAATAACGTTTCAAATCAATTTGTTTCAAGTGTTTGTGTCTGATTAATAAGGAGAATCTTGAAATGCCGGCGGCAGAGTATGCGCTGGTGCGTTCATGTGAATCGTCAGCAACTCAAATCTTTGCAAAAGAGATAACATCTAATAATAGAATGCAATTACGCTGGCAAGACGAATAGACCGCATATATAGTAATTCTTAAGGTATGCCTGATACTGGAAAGCATGATATACATATCATTTGGCGATACGCTAGATGAATTTGACCTTGAAGCGTTTCGTACCATGCACATGCTACTGATTTTAGTACATGATACCATTTTACTAGCACCATGCTTCCAGATTAAATGATAATTTATAGTAAGCTACCCGCAAAAGAAAATAGACTTCATGTGCAAATGATGAGGCATATTGAATAAGACATATATTCTATAAAACAAGCCAATTATGTTGTTCCCGTTGCTCAAAAATACCTGTGCAACGAAGCAACTTACCGTGAAGCAACATGGTAATGTTGAGGTAGATGTTCCTTATGTTAATCCATATTTCAAAATCGTCGAAGCATAAGGGATATTTCAGCAAGCTAACTCCTTGGGCTTCATATACCCGACTAAAATGAGAGAATGGCACAGTGGCTTCATTTTTTTTTTTGATCGAATCGTGAATAGACTTTTAAAACGTCATAATAACGAAAACACTCAAAACAAGGTATTGACTTTGACTCAGATCGCACCTTTCTTAAAACGTAAATGAGAATTTCAATCGAATGATGAAAGATTAGCATGCTGTTGCTTCTCAGCTTATTTACCGCCATGTATTTCTGAAGGACAATGACTGTAACCTCATTCCAGAGTACCTTTTTCCGATGCTCAGATAGTGACAAAATACGTATGGAATGGAAAGTGTCGTGTTTTCTCCTGCTAAATCAGCACATGTCTCTCCATATAAATAAAATGACCAGAGGCCTATACTATTTAACCAGGTACACACACAATACTATGGTGACCATGTATTCGCTTTCCACCGGCATGTATGCTCTTCTCTTCTAACACATGTGTGTGTAAGTGTGTTGTTACAATCTGATTTATTATAAACGGCCATCTTTTTACGGTAGATTGGAATATTTACCTGTTCCATGCTCATCTATTTTCTTCTTTCAGTCGATGAAGAAGAAAAGAAAGCATTGATGTCACACATAAACGATTTTAATGTTTTAATGTTATAATTTGGTTGTTGGAGATTGAAGATTTACTTGGTCCTATACCTTTTTGCCCATTTGCTCCTCTTGTAACAGTTGATAGTGTAACAAGATATAAACATGGCTTCCTGCTTAAGCCAAGCCATGAACCAATAAACTCTACAAAAAGAAATCTGAACAATGAATGAAAAAGTGTTTTCTATATTCTGAAATCAAACCCACTCTATGTCTAAACTATGCACTCGCAAACACAAACAAAAAGTAAGGAATCGAACCAGGAAACCGGTAAAGACTAAAATTAGCAACACCAACATCGTCATTCTGTTACAAAAAAAAAAACTTTGTATTTCAGGGACCACCAAATTCCTACAGTGTAACTTATCATTGTGATTCAAAAGGAAAATCGTAAATGATGTAATTCACATCTAGATTCCAGAACAGGATTCGTTTGGAATCTGTTACAAAAGGACCTATTTATCTTTTTACTCTTTTCTTCTTTTCTTATCTGTTCTTCCATATATTAAATTCTGTCTGAAAGGTAGTAGAAAGATGAAAGTAACACTATGATTCAGGTATACTCACCTCCCCAAAGCATATCAAATGTCAATCAACAACAACACATTCTACATCAACCGAAAAGGTATACCACTCATCGCAATTACTCATACGTCAGTCCAGACGCTTGAACTGACATTTCTTCGCAGATCAAGAGCCCAATCCCTTTGAGCAAAGCTTTTCTTCCATCTCACCCAAGATCAAATTTGAGCCATTCCAATCACCACCCAAGTTGAATGGTGGCGTGGATACTTGGGTCACTAATATCTCATCGTACACATTTGACTCGAATTCCTCCACAACGAATGGTAGTAATGAAATATATCGATCGAAACTATCTAGAGCCATGTTTTAAATGTCGAATTTTAATAGATTCCTACTCATCGGTATCAGATCACCAAGCAACGACTAGTGAAGATAGCGATGATACATTCCATGCTAATGTAAGAATTAATGAGGTTACCAAGGCGCTTAAATTTTCTAATTAGTCTCCAATAGTATAATATGATGCCAATGCAGCCACCTCAACCTCAATCACAATCACAACCACAACATTCGTTTATTCCCACTCCCAACACCACTGCCACTACATCACCAGTAAAAAATAAGCCTACTAAAAAGAGAAATCGTACTGTCAAGCTACCTGAAGACGAAGAAAAGCGAAAGAACTTTTTGGAACGAAATAGAATAGGTAAAGTAACATTCTAGATTCACATCATGTAGCACCATGACACTTATCCAACGGCCGTTTTCTGCTTTAGCCGCATTGAAATGTCGTCAAAGAAAGAAGCAATGGCTTTCAAATTTACAGACTAGGGTCGAGTACTTGACTAATGACAATGAGCAGCTACAGATAGAGGCCAATGCCTTGCGCAAAGAGATCATGGACCTAAAGACATTGCTGGTAGCTCACAAGGATTGCCCTCAATACAATGCTGCACTGGCGACCAAGAACAATTATGCCAATTTACTACCACAACAACAGCCTGTCTACCACCAACATTTTTCCTAAACATGACAACTTGTATGACCGATATGAATGCATGATCGATGACTTTTCTTTTTAATAACACTATGCTTACATATGTGTAAACAAATACACCCCCACAAAGTAGCTTGACACAGTTACTATACGCAGCCTTTAATCAACACTTTATTCTTTGCTTTCATGCCACTACTAATTGCAACAGCAACATTTAATACAACATCTGTCCCCCCCTTGCTCTCTTTCTCTATGACACACATACTACTTGTCCATTCATGTACATACATAGCCTTCTATTTTGTCTTTTTTTTTTTTTTTTAATTAAATGTATATAAAGCGTATAAATAAAGTATGATAGTATTTAATACGAAGTATGCTAATGCAATGCAAAATGGGGGGAGAGGATCATTTCCACTTTTTTAAGGCACATATCAGCACAAGAGATGGATTTCTCGGAAAACGCCAAGAAGAAAAACCTTGTTAAATTTTATAAAGAACTGCTTTTGTGGGCTTAACCCTTCTTCCTTGCTACTTTTTGCACCGTTGACGAGAAGGAAAAGGGGGCTCCAAAAAAGAACAAACAGCATGAAATTAAACAAACAAGGGGAAAATGATATCTTTAGTGCCACGTTCATCATTGAAACGACAAAATACTTAGTGATATGTTGGGACAAATAATGATACCAAATTATGTATCCAATGTTGTGTATATATTCTCCTTTTGCCCAAGTTTTACAGCCAAATCGCTGCTCTCCTTGGACATGAGCTTATCTTGCTTTTTTAGATTAGCATCATCAACATGGATGATTCATAAGTGGTAAAAGATCTTGTTTATCAATCATGTTGCATTAAATCATTGCGTATGCAAGTTGTCAAAAGACTGATGTGTTTTACCGGAAATTTCGCATTACACAGTCAGATATGAGATGTTGGTGTTTAATAATCATACAAGGAAGAGTACCTGAAAAAGGGATATAATGCTGCAATGCAAGGGGTCCTTTTCCTAATGGAAATCTTAGAAACTATCAAATTATATATATAAAGGCATAAAGAAAAAGCCTGGATTTTTCATTTCATTTCTCTTTTTTTCTTTCAAATGTTACAATCACAAATCATCAATGTATTACCTCGCAGAATTTTAGCTGGATTATGGGCAACACAGGAAACCCGCATTTCATTGAACCACCTCGTACCTCATAAATCAGCGAATGAAAAAAGGTAAATTTGTCAGATCAAACCACGTACACTACATGCCTAACATTGTATACAGTCAACAACAGCCTGCAGCTACAAGCTCAGCCTTTATTTGTAACGAATTGCCTGTGAGATACACACATATCTTGAGACTACTATCTACATTATCTCCAGACTCACTCCAATCACCCATCATCCGGAATGTTGCTCACAGCTATCTGCGTGATATTTGCACACTATTACATCCCTCGCTCAAAGGCACATCACCAAAAGCAATTGCCAGAGTATTCAATAATTTACGTCAAAGTCAGGCTACAAATTTGATTCGATTAAAATATGCACTCTTATCAAGCCCAACAGCTGCTTCTGCTACATTAATGGAAAACATAAACACAATTGGCCTTGGAATTCATCTCTTGCTTGGTAAGTTGTCGCACCCCCTTGAAATTTTTGTCTTGGCAAAAAAAGGAGAATTTTAAATAACCCTAGATTTCTATTATAGATCAACATCTCTCGTGGGATGCTCAGTCAAATAATCATGCTCAAAAAACATGTCCTCAGGAAATTGCTCATCAAGCAGTTTCTGACGCTAGAAAATCATTCGCAAATGCATTCGGCAATGATCGCATCATACCAGATATCGAGATCAAACGAGATACCATGACCAACAGAAAACACAAAACGCCTGTCGAACAAGAATTCACTTATATTCCTAACGTATTGCACCGCATACTCTACGAATCTGCCTTATTGTCCCTCAAAGCGCAAGCTATCCATGATGAGGATATCAATCGTGATCTGAATTGGTTTCAGCGTCAATGGAGAAGCAAATCAAGGAATCTTCAGAATAGACCCTTATCACTGCGTATTTTCGGTGGTCCAACAAGCATCGGATTCAGACTAGATGCTGCTGCTCCACTGCTGGAAAGTGATCTCCTGCCTGGTATTCCTTGCGATCCAATTGGAATCCCAACATGTGGTCATGTTCTGTCTTCTACAAGCGCTACCGATGTTCATTCTCCCATGATGGTTGAGTGGGAATCACTCAGCGGTTGGCGATCAGCAAAAGCGTTGGCTAGTCATTGGGGAGGCAACCTGGATGCCGTTACTGTGCAAGGCTTAGGATCAACTATTTATTTAGCCTTGGATCGAGACCCTTCTCTATTGGAACGCTATCCCTCTAGACATGCACTTGCTGCTTCTGCTCATAGTTTACTTCGTCACCATAGACGCACATCTGCTGTTGTTGCATCTGTCGATAGCAATCTATCTATTCAAGCTGCAGCCACGCAATTAGATGCCTTTTTATATGCTATATCCGATTCCCAACAATCTACTTTCAACCCCACACCTCTCTATCATCATCATTCTGTATCTCTCAGTGCAGCTGTTGGACATGCTTAAATTATGATTTCTCTCTTTTCCTATGTATTACACACTCCTTTTCATTTGCATATATTATATATTCCTATCTCTTCTCTACATTTGTATATATAGCACACATTTGCAACACAATCATATCACACTTGATACCACTTACATTTACTACCATTAATGATATAATCTTGCAACATTTTAATACAAACTTGATGTTATGAATTCCTCAGCAAAGTTATTGTTACTCAAAAAGAAAGAGACCCTTAAATAATCATGCAAGTTGCTCATTTTTTCAGGAGCCTATCGTCCTTGAATGAAGATCCAGAATTTCAGGCATGATCAGCCTTCTTACAATGAATCTCATATTCAGCCCAAGTTCAATCAAAGCCTCATTGAATCAATGCAAATCGAAAATTGCGGGGCTTTGAATTAAGCTGGTACCTGAATCGATTTTAAATCATAGCTACCGTCTACATTATATCATACAAGGCTAAATACTATACAATTTTATTCTATATTCTTATATTTACATATTATACAATGCTACATTATTAAATAGTTACAAGGTTTGTTGTTGATCCCGAAGTGATATAGCCTTGACTTTAGTAACAGAGACTGATTTGGCTTTAATCATAACGTGGCTGCGGCTCACAGGGCCTTGATGAAAGGTGGCTGAGGGAGCACCTTTACAATCTGATGACTAAATACGGTAATTGTTATTTTTCATGCAACTACTCTGGATGGGTATCGGTGTAAACTTACTCTGTAAAAGGTAACTTTGACTAACGGGTCGTTTACATCGTATGACCCCACTCTTTTAGATGCCAAATTCCAACAAGGAGAAGAAGCTGCAAAATCGAAATACATGATGAGTGCCAATGCATTACACTCGGCATTAAATGAACGTACCTCCATTGGTTGCACGAATGGTTTGAACGGCACCTTTGCTATCAGGTCTGGAGAAAATTTGCATTCTAAATTGACGGGGTCTTTTGTTCCACTGATTTGTATTGGTATGAACGCTGGCAGCATTGGCAAGAGTTGAGCAGTAAGCGACGATGAGGAGAGCAAGAATAGCGATTGATCTGAGCATAGCAATTGTCTTTGTGCAGTTGATGAAAAGGAAAAATGTAGGAAGAAGAATGTAGCCATCTCGTATTTATATCTTTTTGTCTTCGTTGTACAATGACATGATAATAAAACCATTTTGTTCTGTTTTTATCCAACACTTTTTTAGCTTGAGTGTTTAATAATAGAAATGGCAAACTATCAAAACAAATAGAGATTTGGATTCACCTGATGCTTATCCAGATGAAATTTTATATCAAGCTACGGCGACATTCAAAGACTCCATGAGGCTTGGAAGGAAAATTACCAATTGTTGTCAAATGAAATGGACATGAATGCCGTGTTTTCAGCCCACTTTCCTTGATATTTACATGAAAAACGTTGGGTTACATTATTCTTAATACCGGGAAAGAATGAAATATTTTTTTCAGGGTTTTCTGTTTCTTCTTATTGATGTCATATGTGTGCTACTCTGGAGTTATCGTTTAAAACACTGATTAAACTTGGCATTGTTGCTAATAATAAAGTGTTATTTAACCTTTTGTTGTGTTTCTGTGCTTGCTATTTGCCGCCCCCACACTTGCATCTACATCCAATCATTTCTCCACGCAGTAGACTATCTACACCTGTCTGAAAATTACAAAATGAGTGTGCTTCATCTACAATATGTCACATTTGAAACTGCTTGCTGCAAACACTGAAAGTCTCTATGGCTGTTCGTACATATCTGTTTGGTAATGCATGTATAATTGATCATAATTAAGATAGCAAATGTGCTACTCAAGTGCCTTCCCTTTTATCTTGAGTTTCGATTGTTGTCTTGTTCATGTACCTATATTTATACACTGATAGTGCCATTACGTGTATATATATATCAGTCTTTATCCCAACAGGTGTAACTTGTTATTTCCCATTCTCGGGAACATGGCCTTGATATGTTGTGTTCGCGATTTCGTGTTTGATAGATAGAGTCATTTGAGTTATACATCGCTTGATACGCTACGTTATTTCTATCACGCGGCTGTAGACATACATACGTATACATCATCCTATCTTGAATATATTTCTTGCTTTGTAATAAACATGCTGAAATTTCCTTCGTAGATTATACTTTGTTGTTAGTAAACGCCCAAGAACTTTGTGTACCACCATGCATAAGAATGACGTTAATATCATTGTGATATCTCTCGATTTTGAGTCCTGGAAAGGAGAAAAACTCTCGAGTATGTATCTACATACGATGGAATTGGGGTTAGTTTCATCAGAATGGCGAAAGAGATGAATACATGACAAGGTGGTGGCCGTTTGCTTGATCTACTCTAGAGATATCTGACGTAGAGCATCAGAATGTGGTACAACTCTCCATAAGTCCAGTATTTCACTTTTCTATAAAGGTTTAATAACGGATATCATCTAAAATATATATACTGGAAAACTATGAAAAAAAAATAGACAAGCCAATCATATCCTTTTAAAATCTAATAGTATTAAAAGCCAGAACAAACGAGGGCATAACCACCGGCGAAGCCGGCAATGGGGAGGGGGTTTGGGGGAGGGGGCTTAGCCCCTCCACCAAGAACATCAAGCATCACAATTTGCATAAAGTGTATGAAATATCTTTTTGTTAAAATCAAATCGAATTATCATGCCTCCTGTTCAAGCTAGAAACTGTGTAACCTGTAGAGTTGCTCTACCTGAAGATTACAATTTTCGAAAATGTGATTCATGTCGAGTAAATAGAAAAGAAATGGAAAACAAACATTCGAACGAACCTTATATATATATTTTTGTTTCAGGAACGTGCCCGAAACTACGCCAGACAGAGAGCTGCATTAAGGCCACCTAGAGCACCTAGAGCACCTGCCGCTTTCATATCAGAACTTGGAAGAATGCAACCTCATTATCTGGGAAGAATGGACGTTGTATGTGATGGTTGTGGCGCATTGCATTGGGACGCAGCAAGAACTACCGGTCAATCCAGAAGCAACAATCTCTTCTACTCTTGCTGTAAAAAAGGAAAGGCCATATTGCCCTTATTGCAAGATCCGCCTGAGCCCTTGAATAGCTTAATCAACGGAAGCCATCCACGCTCATCCCATTTCTTGAAGCATATAAGGCAATGCAATACTTTGTTTGCTTTTACTTCATTCGGTACCACTGCTACGCCAGCAGGGGCCCAGAGAGAAGGAGAGGAGGAGAGAAGAGGTGGAGTTACTCCAGTAAGTGCCCATGGTGAATTGTATCACATGCAAGCACCCTTGAATTTTGGTAATGCTCCAAAGTACAATCAACTGTACATTTACGATCCCGAGTATGCTGCTGCATGTCGATCTGCCAACCCCAGAAATCAGCATTTAGATGATTCAATCATTGAAGCATTAAGTGAAATGATTGATGACCCGGTTCGTTGTGGTAACCCATTTGTACGTATCTACAAGCATGCCCACGAAATTCTGAGTGCAGAGGAAGAACGACAAGCCCAAGATCATGTCAGCGAGGATGCGTATATTCGACTCAATCCTCAAATGAGACTGGAATTGGTTGTCGGTGAAGATAGGCGTACTCAGAACTTGCCAACTGTCAACGAGATTGCAGCTATTATCCCCAATGAATATGCTGATTCAAGTTTCAGAGACATCCTGATTACCTATCGAAATAGCACCTCCACCAGTTCCAGAGGACTCTTTAGAAGGATCAACGAGACGCATGCTGCCTACATGCCTCTCCATTACGTTTTGCTTTTTCCCAGAGGTGAATATGGGTGGCATTGGGGCCTTCGTTTGCAATTGCCTGCTTCAACTGTTGATGCCATGGATGTTGACAATGAAGAAGCGCAAGAAGAGGGACAACGTCGAGCAACAGGCAGGCTTACCCAGCGTGCCTTCTATAGATTTAGATTGCATGTCAGGAATGGTGAATCCAAAATCCTGTTCCTCTCGAGACGTCTATTCCAGCAATACCTGATCGATGCTTGGGCTGTTTGTGAACAAACCAAGTTAAACTGGATCAAGGCTAATCAAACGACTCTCCGTGCTGATGTCTACAAAGGTCTTGCTGATGCTATCAGTGCTTCTGATACAGATCTTGAAACGGTGGGTAGAACGTTTATTTTGCCAAGCAGTTTCACTGGTGGTCCCCGGTTTATGGCAGAGCTGTACCAAAACGCAATGGCTATTTCTAGATTCTTTGGTAAGCCAACGTTATTCATAACGTTTACTGCAAACCCAAACTGGAGGGAGATCCAAGATGAGTTGTTGCCTGGCCAAAGTGCTGCTGATCGCCCAGATTTGGTTGCTGAAGTATTCAACCGGAAGCACGACGCATTACTCAAAGACCTGAAGCAAAAGAAAATCTTTGGTGCTTATAAAGGGATTGTGAGAACAATCGAATACCAGAAGCGCGGCCTCCCGCATAGTCATATGCTGTTGTTCTTGGATAACCAAAATGACCGGTTTGATACGGCAGAGAGGATCGACCAGATTATTTCCACAGAAATTCCAGACGTTCATCAAGACCCTGAACTACATGCAATTGTCACCCGCAACATGATGCACGGTCCATGTGGTGGTTATAACAAGAAATCTCCCTGTATGGTGAAGGATGCTTTCGGTAACGACGTCTGCTCAAAAAAGTTCCCAAAGCCTTATCAGCCAGCAACCATAGTTCCTGATGATGGGTATCCACTCTATCGTAGAAGAATGGATGGCCGCTCTCATGTAATACGCATCAAAGATGATCAGAACGTGTACCACGACTTTCATATGACAAATGAATGGGTGGTAGCGTATAATCCATTCCTATCAAAGAGATACAACGCTCATATCAACGTGGAAGTATGCGCCAGTGTCCAGGCTATCAAATACATCAACAAGTATATATACAAAGGTTCTGATCAGACTACTCTGAAAACCACGACTACCGCGACAACAACCGCAACAGCTGGTACTGCAGCAATGTATCAGAATGATGAATGTGCCAAATATCTGAATGGCCGTTATATCAGCCCGTGTGAAGCCGTCTGGAGGTTGAAAGAGTTCCCAATGCATGAGGAAAGCCCACCTGTCACTACACTTGCTATTCATCTTGAAAATGAGCAGCCTGTATATTTTGATCCTTCCTGGCCTCAATCAAGAATTGATAATGTCCTGAGAGAGAGTCATACCACGCTCATGGGTTACTTTCATTATAATGCCGTGAATCAAAACAAACCTGGTTTTCAACCATTGCTTTACCAGCAATTCCCAGAGCATATGACTTGGAAAGAAAAGAAGCCAAAAAGGTGGGAAGCAAGACGAACCGATACCATGTCTATCGGCCGCATGTACTACTGTAGCCCTGCTGCCGGCGAGAGGTATTATCTGCGTCTGCTGCTCACAGTTGTCAGAGGAGCCACGTCGTTTTCTCATCTGAGAACTGTCAATAATCACGAGTATGCCACCTTTCGTGAGGCCTGTATGATGCTGCATTTGATCGAAGATGATGGAGAATGGACCAGAGCCTTTGAAGAAGCTGCTACCTTTGCCTCTGGCTACGCAATGCGTTCAATGTTTGTCTCTGCGCTCATGTTCAACTCATTGGTATCGCCTGTTCAGATTTGGGATCAATTCTGTGAAAGTTTCTGTGATGACCTTGAGCATGCAATCGTGCAAAAAGGGTATTCGCTGCTGCTCAGCGTGCAACCTGACGCTGAATTTTACCATGGAACGCGAAGTCTTGATTATGGCTTATATCTGTTGCAAACATCTCTTGGTGCACAAGACAGATCTCTAGGTCAGTTCAATTTGCCTTTGCCTCTCTTCAACTGGAATGGCTTGATAAGCAGAATGACTGGCATACAGCGCAATTCATTGATACTCAATGAAATGTCATATCTCCAAGATCAAGAAGCCTTTTCGTATCAGCAAAAGTATGCTCAAATGAACGCTACCCAGAAGCACATATTTGAGACCATCACCTCCTCCATCAACAGCAACGCCAACAGCTCACATTTCTTTTTGCAAGGTCCAGCTGGCACTGGCAAAACCTTCATTTACAATACTCTTTGTCACTTTTATAGAAGCCAAGGAAAAATTGTTCTCTGTGTTGCCTCCTCTGGCATTGCTGCTTTGCTACTTCCTGGTGGGCGTACGTCACACTCTCGCTTTGCCATTCCACTCAACATCCACGAGCAGTCTGTGTGTGCGATCAAGAAGAACGATGACCTTGCTGATCTCATTCGAGAGACAGCATTGATAATTTGGGATGAAGTGCCAATGCAGCATCGATATTGCTTTGAAGCTTTTGATCGAACACTTCGTGATATTTGTAGTCGTGGTGATGAAGTTACCTTTGGTGGTATTCCTGTTGTTCTTGGCGGTGATTTTGCTCAAATTCCACCTGTTGTTAGGCAAGGTGGCCGTCCTGAAATCGTCAATGCCTCACTGAAATCGTCAAGATTATGGCCCAAATTACAAAAGCTGAGCCTGACTGAGAATATGAGACTTGCCAACTCCAATGACACAGATAGGCAATTTGCAGATTGGATAGGAAAAATGTCGTATGAACCATCCATGATTGGCAGCATTGCTTTGCCCTCTTTTTTGAGGCAGATGACTGATCTTGATCAGTTCATTGAAGATATCTATCCTCAGCATGTTCTGCAGTGTCCTCTGCAAAATAGTGATTTCTTCAAGGAAAGAGCTATTCTCTGTTCAAAGAACGTCAACGTTGATGCTATTAACAGCAAGGTGATGGAGAACGTGATTGGGGAAAAGGTCACTTTGTACTCTGCTGACACGGTGCAATCTGATCTGACCAACACTGAGACCCAAGCCTATCCCTCAGAGTATTTGCAAACCCTTTCGCCTTCAGGGCTGCCGCCAGCAGTTTTGGAGTTGAAAGTAGGTCTTCCTGTAATGCTCTTGAGAAACCTCAACCCTGAAAGAGGTTTGTGCAATGGTACAAGGCTGATCATTCAGCAAATTGGACAGTATGTCCTCAAGGTGAAAATCCTCGGAGGGTCAGGTGCAGTCGAGTTGATTCCTCGCTTTACTTTGTCTACATTGCCTGGCACATTGCCATTCATATTGACCAGGAAGCAATTCCCGGTTAAAGTATCTTTCGCAATGACCATCAACAAGTCGCAGGGTCAATCTCTCAGGAAAGTTGCCGTGGACCTCAGGAGTCCCGTATTTACTCATGGTCAACTCTATGTTGCCATGTCAAGAGCAACATCTGCCAATGGCATGACCATTTTATTACCCGAAAATATGAAACACACAGAAAATGTAGTGTATCCTGAAGTTCTATTTTCAGATACTACCTAATATAACTACTCTATATATTTTTTTTTACCCTTTATAACTATTGATTTAATCAGTTTTATTGTAATCGGCCAAAGCCCGCAGGGCGACGCCGTCATCGAGCGTAGCGAGATAGATCGGCTAGTCATATTATACCATAACAAAACACATTTATGCTCGCTAGACCTTCTTAAAGCTTTAGTATTGAAAGTGAGTTTATGTAATATTGTTCCTGTGGTAAGCTAGGCTAACTGACGCTATGATATACAAAACTACATAAAAAAAAGGAAGCCAAACCAAGTGATAGTACCTTATCATTCTCAAGCCCCTTCTTATGAGTCTCAAGAAGCATCATTTGTCGTCATGGTAAGCATGGAATTGATTTTACCAGCCATTGTAGAATTAATCTCCGCGAGACATAATTTCATCCCGATTCGTTAATTTCTGATCAACTCTCGACTTGTTTGATCTATTCTGTGAGATTTGACTATCAATTGTGATGATCATCCTATACTTCCTTAAGCTTCTCTGAAGTGCTTTTCAAGGCGCGTTCTATGGTGCTAATTTAAGTAGATGCTTTGAACAAGTATGTTGAGCAATACAGCAAAACATGAAACGACGTTTTTGGCCAAAAGCTCTAGTTTTTGTATCCAAAGATCTCGCAAACAAAGTTTCAGGGGTTACTTTGGGTCGATAGAAACGTGTTGATATAATATTCACCATAGTAAAAGTCTTTATTATCAAGATCAAAAACGCGATCGTTTAATATTTGATGAAAACCAGGAGGGGTACCTCATGCTTTTTGGTCTATTTTTGGCCATGTTTTTTTTGGTCCCCAAAAAGTTGAGCAAAGGTGTCAGCAAGTAACAGCCAGATCAGGGCAATTGTTTGGTGCTATTCTGAGGGTCTAAAACGGCCTTGAACGCGAGAAATATATGATTAAATGCGCTCAAATCTCACTGTATCTTGCATACTTTTGAATACTAAGAAATAACGCAAGTATGCTACCCGTCTATATATGAGCTATTTCCATTGCTACAGGCATGTAATACCACAGAAGAGCCAAACCCGCAGTTTCTGAAGAGTATCTTGCATCATGAAATAGAAAAGCTGTCGATGAGGGTTTAAATGACATATGATAAACAGAGTTGTTGACCCAGTATGCCGTATAGCTGCTCGTATGTTATTCATACAAAGGCTATTCATACTAGTTGTAAAAGTTGCTTAGACGATGAAGTGGACACTCTGTTCTAAGTGAGAGACCCTCTTACTATCAACAACACTGCCGACTACAATGCAAACATTTAGCAGGTTTTTCGTAATTGACAGGCATGGTGTTCAAATCAAGTTCATAAGCAAGTAGTTAATTTATTCAATTTTCTCTGTCGATATCAAGAAAGATGCTTAGGATATATGCTAAATACACGAGATTTAATTTTGCTTCGTGTGTCAGTCTACACAACGGATTATGCAGGCTATAAACGTACCCGCCATGTTAATTAAAAATTTATGAATAGCTTTTCGAGAAAAATACAAACTCCAAGATGAGAAATAAGTATTCTGTTTCTAAACGGGTCGAATTGGCCAACCTGTGCTAAAATTTCAAGTGCGATATCCCTCTAAAATGATGGTGCTACACACTGCACTCATTCGATCTGTGTAAATGTACAGATAAAAGCAATCGTCTTGATGACTGTTCCTGAACTATAATTCTTGTGCCTTAAAATCTCATTGATCCGATGTTTTGCAATAGTGGAGCGAGCTGTATTGCAGTTTCCAAATTTGCAGGAAGATGTACTCGGTTAATTTAGACAAGAGAGAGGAGATCACAACTTTGATGAAGGAAAAAGGGAACCCAGCGCGTGGCAGACTGAACATCCATTTTGTTTCATTGGATGATATCCACTTGATTTTAAATTCGATATCCCCGCTTTACACACTCTATATGTTGCCCCTTTTTTTCCTGTATCTTCTCTCTTCTCTCTTCTTTTCAACTTTTTTATAAAGAAAACTTTGCGATATCAAAATGGCTCATGTATGTTGAACGGAACGCTTGGATTGAGTATTGTCTTTTCTAACACATGAGAATCATCTAGAGACTTGGTGGACGTAGAAAGAATGTGAAGAAAGGGTTCCAATTCACCCTTATGGTTGTTGGTATGTACAACTATTGTCTGAGAAATGGAGGAGAAATATTCACCGTGTTCATCTCTTAGGTGCCTCCGGTACAGGTCGCACTACGTTTGTAAACACTCTTTGCGATGATCGTGTTCTTGTAAAGAAAGAGTATGACAACCCAGAAGATGCACACAACGAAGAAGGAATCAATATCAAACCTGTTTCTGTCGGTAAGTTACCAGTATATGTTCTCAGACGAGTAGCCTTAAACTGAAATCTACCTCATGATTAGAATTGGATGAAGATGGTGTTAGGTAAATCAAAAAGTTTTTTTGGCCATTGAATAAATGAGGGGGGGTGGGGGACACAGAGGGAAGGGGGGAGGAGTAGAGATCTTTGTGCACACATACGAAAAATAGAATGATACACAGGAGCATCAGTGTTTAGGGAGATGAAAGGGAGCTAACACTTTTGCGTTGCTTTTTATATAGAATCTCTTTGACTATTGTCGACACACCAGGTTTTGGTGACAACATTGATAATGAAGCATGGTAAGGCGCTATCCTATCATGTCAAACGATCACATTTTAACACCGTCTAATTTAATTAGTTTCCATGAAATTGTTGCCTATTTGGAAAAGCAATACGATGATATTCTTGCTGAAGAATCCAGAATCAAGCGTAATCCTAGATTCCGTGATAACCGTGTCCATGCCCTTTTATACTTCATCTCACCTACCGGCCATGCGTAAATAACTCTTTTTTTTTTTTTTTTTTTTTTTTTTTTTGCTCTTGTGTGTGCAATGTAACTAATTGACCACATAGTTTGCGTGAAATCGATATCGAGTTGATGCGTAGACTCAGTCCTCGTGTCAATGTCATTCCTGTTGTTGGCCGTGCTGATTCCCTCACCCCTCAAGAGCTTAAAGATTTCAAGAGAAGAGTAAGTGCGTTGTACTGCAGTGGGAAAAGAGCCATTGTTCACTGTTCGTTGTAGATCATGGAAGACATTGAACACTACAATATTCCCATTTACAACTTTCCTTACGATGTAGAGGAAGACGAAGAAGATACCATTGAAGAAAACAGTGAATTAAGAGTAAATTTTACAGCTCGTTGACAACATTGTAGACATTGCGATTAACCCAGCTCTCAATCACAGGCACTTTTACCCTTCTCCATCATCGGTAGTGAGGAGGAAATCGTTGTGAATGGTCGCACTGTTCGTGGCCGTCAGTACCCTTGGGGTGCTGTCGAAGTCGACAACCCTAAACACTCTGATTTTGGCCGTTTAAGATCTGCTTTGTTGAGGTAATGTCTGTTGAATTTTTTTTACGTCCACATGCCACTTATACTCGTTTTATATATCAAAGCTCTCATTTGCAAGACCTCAAAGAAATCACTCACGACTTCCTCTACGAAAACTACCGTACAGAGAAGCTTAGTCGTACTGTCAACGGAGGTGATCAAGAGGATGCTTCATTGAACGCTGAAGATATGGCATCTCAAAGTGTCAGATTGAAGGAAGAGCAATTGAGAAAGGAAGAAGAGAAGGTAGGCATCATTGAGAGACGCACCATGCCAACGTACTTATATATTCTGGTGATAGCTTCGTGAAATCGAATTGAAGGTTCAACGTGAGATTCAAGAAAAGAGAGCCGAGCTTTTGAGTAAAGAGGAAGCTTTGCGTAATTTGGAGGCTAGATTGGCACAAGCACAGTTGGCTGATTAAAAAGAAAAAAGAGCACTTTTGCTTGAAAATTGTCTATTCTCGTTCTATTTAATAATTCTCTCTCTCACTTTCACAATACACACACATCTACACACTATATCGTCTCTATTTCTACTTCTACAGCCCTCTTTCCCATCTTTTTACCAGATATACATAAATATTTTTAATCCATTTATAATACAACTACCATGTATCAACACCTAAAACTTGTTAAAGTATGGTTGATTTATTCTCGGCAGTGTAGCACAGAATCAAATTGGAAAATCGTGTATAACATTCATTTTTAATTAGTTTCTTATAGTACGTATGATGGTGTAGCTTCGTATGCAGTTGCAGTGTGCCTCATTCACGGAGATTTGCAATGGAGTATACTTTCATCTATTTGATTGATATGAAAAAACCAATACTGAAGGTGCAAGAGGAATCTTGAGCACATACTCATGGCTTTTGGTTGCACAAGAGCAAGAAACGTGGTATGGTGCTCAACTTTCGAAAAGTGTATGTGTGCTGTGTTTCCATTATCATCATGTTCGGGTACTTGGGGTCAGCCAATAATGAGCCCTTGTTTCTGCGAGTATGAACCTAGCATTGACACGAAAATCCGTTCATGCATCAACTTTGATGCGCATTGAACCATCATTTTGATATACATCTACTGTCAACGATATCATGTTATTAGATCAGAAATAGAATTTATGTAGTTTAGACCGACAATAAATCATCCCAATGTGAGGACGAATTAGTAAATGCCGGGAATGATGCGATATTTAACAATGGAACAATAGCGTTCCCAGTCAGCGCCATACTTTTGACGACATTTGTGTTCATCACGACGCTCACGATGCACCAAAAGAATGGCAAAATAGATACAGTAAAAGTAGGGAATGATGGATCCAAATCCACAAGGCAAACACCAAGCTACTGACATCAACCAATCACCCAAATAGTTGATGTGTCTAGCCTTACCCCACCAGCTAGATGTGATCAAACGAGTGCCTGCTTTGGTTTCAATATACTCGAGATCTAGCAAATCAAACAGCTTAATCCACTAATTCATACACTTGTCAAACTATATATATATATATATTTACCTGCAACTTTAGGATCTTTGGGATCTCTACGGAAAGCATCCTTTTGAGAATTGGCAGATCTGAAAATGTAGTAACCCAAAAGCTGAAGAGCGACAATAGCAACCAAATGAGGAACGCTTAAATCGACTGGATTGTCTGCAAGGTAACGAGCTTGCAGACTGTACATCATGGGCACCCAGCAGAGATTACCGAATGCTAGCATAAAACCAAACCCATCCGTAGTGATGTCCATAGTGGTCAAAATGGAGGACTCGTTGATCAATGCATCAATAATGTACCAAGCCTGGAACACGATAACAAGGATCATAGAGTAGGTCACTCTTCCCAACTCAACCCATTGACAAATACCAAAGCAAATGTTCAGACACAACCACATGATCAATCCCGGTCTCAACTCTGTAAAGAACTTGATGTCAAACTTTCCAATGCGAGGGTTCAATTCACGACCGATCATAAACTGAAAAAGAGCGCATGAGTCGACGATACATTGAGATATGCGTATATGAACTTACATCGTAAATGAAATTGCCTGTGTTACCACCGAGCGCAAGAATCTTGTCGCCTACAAAACTACGGAGATAGACCCAGATGGAAACAAAGAAGGAAACAAAGATGGAGAACAATGCAATGTCAGCAAAATGAGCCCTAACCCACAAGAACATGAACCAGCCTTGTCCGCGAAGAGACATGAAGGAAAGAGTGACAAGAGATTGAAGTGCACCCATCGCTTTTTTTTTTTTTTTTTTTTTTTTTTTTTTTTTTTTTTATCATATACCTATTAGCCACTATAATACACATTGCAACACAACTTACCATTGATCTTGTACTTGAGACGAGTGCCATCACGAAGAGGAGCACCCTCAATCTCCTCGCCAGGAAGAACATACGAGTACACAACCAATTGCAATACAATACCCAAATAAAAGATGGCTGAACCATAGCTCCAATTTGTGATTTCATGCTTGAGGTATTCGATATCAAAGTTGGTTGCAAAATTGTAGAATCGTTGGAAGGGATGATAGCCGCCATGTTGGTCGCAGCCATAAGCAAACATGATGACCAACAAAGGTAGCAAAGTAATCATGGCAGTAGCACCTAGAACACCACCGAATCTGTATAAAATGTGAGTAGAATGCCGGTTGCATGTTGCTCCGTAGAGTCAAAAGATGCTTTACTCGTAGTTTGTAGTCTTGGGGTTCATCACCTTAGAAGACTTGCTTCCAGAAGGTGCAGAGCGAGCCGTTCTGGTAGTTGTTCTAGTAGTTCTAGTGGTCTTTGTAACCTTGGCTGCTTTGGATTCCTTGTTTTCCTTCTTTTGAGCAGCACGTCGAGCAGCACGATTGGGAGGCGGTGTATCAGCTTGTGTGTGATCCTCAGCAGCTACATCAACGTTATCATTGCTGGTGGCCTTTTGGGACGCAGATCGCGTTTGAATAGCCATGATGACAAAATGTTACGGAAGAGAAGAGAAAAACCTTTTTGAGATTTCCCAAACATCACGTCCTTTTCAAAGTGTGTAACATTCAAATACCGTATCGCTGTTTTCTCTACTACATCCTTGTGCAATGCATTACATAACACCACAATGCAATTCAGGCAACTTGGATTTCATCATCAATCTTATCAGTTGACTCAAAGCAGGACTAGAAGCCATGAAAACTATGTAAAATATGGCAGCTTCAACGTATATTTGAGCTGTGAAATCTCATGGGATTTTAAATGCAAATGAGGATTTGCATGTTTACCACTCGTTATAAAAATGGCCTTTTTTCTCTGCAAGCTTGAACATCTCTCCTAGTTCAAAGCACTACAGATTATCTAAAGTCTCTGCTTACTTTAGATAGTTGGTTTGAATCACTGCAAATGCCATGAAAACGCTTCAAATGTAACCGCCATCTCAAATGGTAACCCTTCTTTTCAGTCACATTTGACAGTATAAATCTACAGATAATGGATGATGGTCAGCATTGTCATCTTTCTAGCACGCATTTCAGTTTCATCATGTTGAATCCTTTAGCTCATGATTTTACACCCATATCAGCCTTTTCACCCGAGGCTCCTTCACAAGAACAGCCAAAGACTCCACCACCTCCTAAGCGGAAAGAGGAGCAATCTAAAAAGAAGCAAACAAAACCAAAGGCAACGACGACTACCAACACATTATCCACATCCACATCCACATCCACATCTGCGGTAAAAGGCAAAAAGAAAGATACGCAGGCGAACTCCAAAAAGCAGCAGCAACAACATCGTGATTCCAAGAATAAGCATCGCAGCGCTAAAACAACACATGACATACCAAACCATGTTAATACCACTACTACTGCGCCATCTGATCTATTTGCAAAGGAATCTAAATTTATAACCATCGAGGCAGCCATTGATCCTATCCGACGTATCAAGGAAACAGCACACGCCAACAGTCTACAGCATCATAGACAATCTATCAACAATGATAAATACCAGGTTGAGCATGGATATGAACAGTACATAGACTGGATCGATAGATCACTACGGCTGTTTGACACTGTGACCTTGGTTGGCATGGGTAATGCAGTAGTAGATATTGTTTCCTTGGTAACCATTTTACAGGATCGAAGAATAGGGGTGCATGATGGTAATTTGTCATCTTGATTTAGGTTATTGCCAGATGTAATTAACTCGATGCCTTATATGTAGATGTCGAGACATTCAGCATGGACATTGGAAATAATCGAATTACAGCTTGCATCCAAGTGAAATTGCATCCCTTCTATTAGAAATAAACGCATTCAATTAAGCAACACATTACACAACAGATGCTCCTTTATATATATATTAACCATTCTTCAACTCCCTAAAATAGTATATTAAATCATACGAAATAGAGTTGTCCTGCCTGCCGTTTCTATACTCTTTTCTTTTCCTCTCTCACTCACACACACTCTCTCTCTCTTTTGCTTTCTTCTGCTGTTTCCAATCTCCACCGAATTCACAACTTTTCGGACAACTTTTGGTTCAATAAGCAAACGAGGAAACTAAAATTAATAGGTACTCATCTCTTTCCCTTCTTCCTCTCTCTCTCTCTTCCCTCCTTATCTTGTATGCGAAAAAAACATGTCCATTTTCAAAATCCCCTTTTCTCGCCTGAAACCATCGTCTTCATCTCCAAATGACGAAAGCACTGAAATGACTCAAGTGTTTGACGTGGACTCATTTATTGCTTTAGTAGACGGCCGTCATATACTTGAGGACGAACAAGACAACAACAGCGACGACGACGACGACGACGACGACGATCAAAGCAGTATCAGCAGTGCCAGCACCACTATCCACACAATGAATCAACATGGCGTAAAATACCACTACGAAGATGATGAAGACGATGAAGAGAATACCCCTTTTGTTGGTGATGAAGCAGAACAGAGTTTGGTCTCCAGCCGTGATCACAATAGCAACAACAACAACAGTGATGTAGAGAGTGGCATCATCAAACAAAAGGTTGTTGCATTCCTGAAGCATAACAAACGAATTCTTGTATTTATACTCTAATAGAAAATTACGGATAGGAAATGGCTCTGCATGTCATTTCTTTTGCTCATTCTAGTATTTTGGCTGATATGGACCATTGGACTCAGCCAAATGGGCCCCATCCATGATGGATCAGAGCAGGCAGACATTGCAAACCACATCGATTTGCCAGATCTCTACAATTCGTCCTTTTTTGTCAAGAGACCGACGCTGGTCTGGGTCAAGAATGATCCCCGAGACGGCATATTCACCTACACAGATCCCAATACAAATGACATTTTGCTCGAGTCCGTGGAAGATGGGAGATCAGAAGTGTTTGTGCAAGCATCGAACCTCAAGGTGAATGATACATTCATCAACGTGCAGTCATTTGAGATATCCCAGGATGCTCAATATCTGCTGCTGAAAACCAACGTTACCAGCGTATGTAACAACATGGCACATACTTTTGTCGTCCCTATACTCACACTGCATCCTATAGCAATGGAGACATTCGACTCACAGCAACATATACATTTACAACCTGAGTGACAAATCACTATTTCCGTTGAATGCACTGTCCACCATTGACTCTAAACCTGTCATTTCATATGCTGCTTGGAGTCCAACTGGCCATCATCTGGTAAAATATGCAAAACCATATCACACACAAAATATTTAATTAACTCTTTAAATAGGCATACGTGCTTGGCAATGAAATATTTATCACTGATTTGGTCAACACGACCCGTATCACATTTGATGGCTCAGACACTATCTTCAACGGTGTGCCTGATTGGGTCTATGAAGAGGAAGTTTTTGGCACAGATTATGCCATGTGGTGGTCTCCAGATTCAACACACCTGGCCTACCTTCGTTTCAATGAAACCGCTGTTCCTGAGTATCATTTGCAATATTACACCGCTTCCAACAACAGCTACCCAGATGAGTTGACCATCAAATACCCCAAGGCTGGTGCTCCTAATCCGCTGGTATCGCTTCACATTTATTCTCTCACTTCAGGCACAAGCATCATGGTCACTAGCAACTCCACATCCAATGCCACTATCAAAGCATCCGCATCACTTGTTGAATTGCAAGACAACGATCGCCTCATTACGGACGTTGTGTGGTCCACTGAATCCAGCACCCATCTGCTGTTCAAGCAAACAAATCGTGTGCAAGACATTGAAATCACAAGCCTTGTTACTGTAGGCAGTCCATTGAACGAAACCTATGTGCAAAACACAAGGACATACAAACCTGACGATGGAGGATGGGTTGACTCTGCACAAACAATGGTGTACATTCCAAACAGTCAATCCAGTGATCCTGTGGTTCGCTATTTGGATGTTATTGATAATGGCAAGGGGTTTATGCATTTGGCGGTTGTTAGGGCAGATAAGTCGGATAGAGAGCCTGTATGGCTTACCTCGGGCAACTGGGAAGTGGTTCCTGGCACAGTCGTTGTGGATCAGGACAGACAGCTTGTGCATTACATTTCCACAGAACGTTCTCATCTGGAACGTCATCTCTACAAAATCAACTTGAATCACACCAAGCCAATCTCGACGAAACAGTGCATTACGTGCCCAGAGGACGAGGAAGTGCATGGATATTATAGCGCTATATTCTCACCTAAATTTGGCTACTACATTTTGCAGTATCAGGGCCCTGATATCCCAACCACTGTAGTCAAAAAAGTCGACAATAGCACATTTGAGACAGTGTTGCAGGACAACAGTGCGCTCAAATCTTTGCTAGAAGGCTATGAACTGCCACGCACGCGCATGGTGCCTGTCAAGAGTGGCGGTGTAGAGATGGACGCAATGGAAGTGCTACCTCCTGATTTTGATGTTGCAAAAAAATATCCAGTTTTGTTCCATGTCTATGGTGGACCTGGCTCTCAGCTAGCATCGTACAGGTTTGAGCTGTCTTGGAGTACATTTTTGGCAAGCAAGCTCGGATACATTGTCGTTACGGTGAGTGTATATATCCTTGCTATTGTAAGGAGGTTACTTATACGCTTTGTACTAGGTGGACGGTAGAGGTACAGGGTTCAAAGGGAGAAAATACAGAGCAGGTGTGAGAGGTAGACTAGGCGAGCTAGAAACGATTGATCAAATCAACGCGGCCAGGTAACTTCAGACCGAGTGAGTTATACGCTTTATCTTGTGTTGACTTGGCGTTATAGGCATTGGTCCACACTGGAGTATGTAGACCCATCTCGCATTGCAATCTGGGGTTGGGTAAGTTGAATCTATACCGAGACTGTATCACAATCTCACACATCACTCTAGTCTTACGGAGGGTACATGACATCCAAAGTAGTAGAAGCAAACAGTGGCGTATTTGCTGCTGGTTTAGCTGTTGCACCAGTAACAGACTGGAGATTCTATGGTAATGTACTCAATGGTGCGCTTTATATTGAGGTTGTATTAACACGACACATCCAGACTCGATCTATACTGAGCGATACATGCTGACACCTGAGCTAAATCCTGAAGGGTATACTCAAAGTGCTGTTAGCAACATGACAGGTTTTGAAAACACAAGATACTTGCTTGTGCACGGCACTGGCGATGACAATGGTAAGCTAATGGTGCTCAAGTTTGAAGAAGCCTACTAAAGGAGGAATGTGTAGTTCATTTCCAAAACTCTGCTGTTTTGGTGGACAAATTGACACAGGCCAACATTCACAACTATCAAGTTCAATTCTTCCCTGACAGCAATCATGCCATACAATATCACAATGCAAATCAAAATGTGTACCATTTACTGACCAACTTTCTGTGGGAAGCGTAAGTATAATCATCTACTAGCTACATTGTAGTTGGACACTGACATATCGCCTTGTAGATTTGGAGGTGAAGAATATTTGCATGTGCGAAAAGAACTGAATGGCCATTTCTCTGGGCCTTTAACTGGGGGTCACTAATACTATTTAAACACATATCATTAAACTCATTTCAACAAATCATTTGCACTGCTTTCAAATGTTATATATAGACATTATTAACGTCTATGTTAGACACACAACATAAAATCAAGGCTGGCTCTCCTACTTTTATAACCTGGCTTGACTACTGATCATGCTTTCCCTGATCAAATTAATCTTTGCAAAACTCTTGAAATACGGCAATAATATAAAAGGCATTGAAGGTCCTTCGCATATCAGGCATAAGATTCCACGCTTGAAGATTTGCAGGATTGTTTAGGTGAACAATACAAGTAGTTTCTGTAATTATTTCTTCGTTAAAATAGCACAAAAAATCACATATGCTTTCATTGACTCGAGTAGAATATGCTTGAAGAATTGCATAAATTCAAATGCGGTCTGTTAAGCACAAGGAATAAAAAGATTACTATTTGTAGCTTATAAAAAATGTTCAATATTATAAAAACAAGAAAAGACTTATTTGAATAAGATCAGACACAAAAAACTAAAGATTTATTGATGAATCTTGTACAACGTTTATCACATCTGGTGAACCTCAGCATTTAGATAGCTGAGATGCACTTCAATTATCATAGCTTGTCCATGTCGTTGTACAACACAGACATATCTACCCATCAAGAATACCTCAATCTTTATACAGTTGTAGCCCTTCTAGCACAATACGGTCGCATTAAAAGCATTATTTTATTGTTTCTTACAGCTCCAAATTTTTAACCAATCAAATCGCTCAAAAACTCCGCTGAATTAAAAAATTTTTTGCGAGGGTTTCCCCCTGTTTTGATGTGAGGCAAAATTTTAAGCTCCGCTATATACAGCGATATAGCCGTTACTATCATCAAATTTCCCTCAGGTGCTAGAGCATGCCTTACTTACACCACCTAGCTTTACATTCAGGCATTGAGACCCTCAATCATCACTAAAGTAAGTAGCGATAACCAAGTGGAGGCGGCCTATCTACCTCCTAGCCTCGGATAGAGTCTTGTTGAGTTTCAGGGATAGGCACATCCACACAACGTAAAAAAAAAGTATGCTTCAAAGAAACATAATAAAAGAAAGAAAAGGAAGAACAGAACATACTAATGTACTATAGGAGTATAGTAGTATGTAAGCAAAAAAGGAACACTCACACAAAAAAAGTGAGACAAAAGAAAGGTATAACAAAGACAACATCAAAGATGTTCAGAACAGCTCGCTGTTGTTGCAACGAAAATGCATACATGAGCAACGTGCATGATAATAGTCAGATGTCAAGCAACACAAACACGCACAATTGCAGGAGCAACAGCAGTATTATAAGTGTGCAATACAACATAATGACTAATGTTGTTTCATGTGAAGCGACAGTGGCAACACAAACAACAATCCACGACCATATAACAAAGTAGTATTACAACGGCAATACAGATATATAGTAGCACATCATGCTTGTTGTTCATACAACATAAGAAGCAACAACATTGCAAGCATCCGTTGAACTGATCATATCACAGTCAACAAAAGAAAAAAAAAGCGTAACAAAGCAAACACTACGAATGCATCATCACGAGAAAGGAAGCAATAATACAAACGCTCAGAGAAGCTTTATATCATTGCGATCACAAGAAAAAAAGATACTTACCACTTACCACACCCACGGATAGACCAAAAGAGAATAGGCAATCACCAGAGATAGAACAAAGAACAACCATACAACAGAGACAGCAGACCAAGAAAGACCAGACTAGCAGCAACACCAGCAGCAACACCATAGAAAAACCGAAGAACAAGCGCCATCAGAGACCAGACAAAGGCTAAAGAAGCAACCGCCAGAGATAGAGACCAAAGAAGAAACAACCAGACATGGTAAACCAAAAAAGCAGACAGCTGGTATAACAGAGAAGTAATGACAACAGCACCGACGTCAAACAGGAAAAAAAATTATCAAAACCTGATAAACAAATTCAATTAGTGCTGATTTTACGTATGCCAGTGCTCGTTATCGAATGATACCTATTATATTCCACTTCAAAGAAGTAGTATCAAGTACTTCTAACAGTACAAGGCCGCCTTATTAGAAGCTAGAGTGTTATTTTAAATCAAAAGGGCTCCAAAACCAACGTGGTTTGATACTAAACGCGTTTTGCAAAAAGGGTAAAAAAAAAAAATAGGGGTATGGGAAAACGAGAGAGCGCCATACCCGACGTCACGGCCAGTAGATTTGGCCTCAGTTTTCTGCCACAGCAGCTGTCGCTGCGGCACTCAAATTTGGATTTGTGCAGTTGTCATTTTTGTGTTCAAATTTGACTAGATCTGACATTCTTTAAACGTTTCTGCTAGATTTGACTATGAAAATTGTCGTTGTCAAACCCAACTTTCTAATGCATTTGTAAAGAGTCAATAAGGGCGTATCGAATGATGTTGGTTACATTGAGCTTTCAGACTGAAAATAATGAGCAATTTGTAAAAATATGAAAACAGGTCTTCTGTGGATATGCCAATATTCAGCATATAAAAGTTTTATAAAAGTAGTTTCCAACGTTTCATTTCATCTTTACCATCAATTTGATCTAATATGTGTCATAGGAAACGTCTTCATTTTTGAGGTGAAAAACGCGATCGTTTGATTTTCAAGAATTTTCCCTTGCTAATACTCATGGAAAAACGATAATTTTTATGACTTTGCAGTGACCAAAAAAAAAAACGAGATGAAACATTAGGAAGCAAAGCGTGGCCAAGAGGAGGCGTGTGATGTTATTCCAAGCGCTCAAAACGCTTTGTAGCATGAGTTATTTGTGCCTGAAAATGGCTAGATTTGAATAGAACTCGACCTAAAACGACGGTGTAGTTGGTTGCATTGCTAGAAGAGTAAGTAAATTACACTTCTGTCTGATGACCCAGATGTTCTGCATTGTACATGTGGAATACATCCACTATGATCTGCATTCCGACAGTTTATCCAGTTACCAGATTTAGATATAAGCTGTATGTACACTGGATTAGTAAATGTACGATATCGATTTATACTATAAGAAGATATGGACTTCAGATACGCTAGTACTATAAGATTCATACTATATAAGATATAGGCTATAGATGGCACCACGGACATGGATGGCGCTATAGACTTATACTTGTATTCCGACATTGACTACGGATGTTTACCATATCTGGATAGGCACCAAGATTAATGCAATATGAGCTTGTTGCTTCAGATGTGCACTTCATGTTCCACGCTATAAGACACATGCTTATATCCGTGATACTAGCTACAGATACTTTATGTACTACAGACTTGTACTATATATGAAACATGCTATAGACATGCATACGATATGCTATAGACATGCCATAATATATCCAGATACATGCTAAAGATGTATCCTTAGCGATATACACTCAGATATGTACTATTAATATAGACTAAGTAGACTGTACCTATCGGATACATGCTACTAGATCGATATTAATTATCCTTATAAAAAGGATAGATCAGGGTACTTCGGATGAGAGCCTAATTATTCATCCAGACAGAGCTAAATCATGATTAGCTTGCTGGAGTTGTCTTTTAGCATGATTAGACATTATTTGATCTGAGTTAGTTGACTTATTTGTCAATCTAATTAATAGAACTTTTATCCATTGTTATAGTATATAAAAAGGATCATCTACCTGGAGAGGCAGAGGAAGAGAAGAAGCGGTCCTCGAACATTGATATGTTGGCCAATGCAAGTACAAGTCTTTTGATAGACATTGGAAACAATTTCGCAGAAGTGCAGATTTCTTCAGAGAGAATTATCGCACACATTTGATGATGTACCGAGCAACTGACACCATTCATGATAAACTCTACGTACCATTGCATCTGTGGAATTTGAGGCTTGATAGACTAAAATTCACGGGAAAAAAGAGTGAAAAAACAATAAAGTCAACTTGATAAAGGTATGTTCTATTATCAAACTGACAGGTGTCAAGTAAAACTGAAGTCTCTCTACTGGCCATCTACTGTAGGGGAAAAACTGTCCCGTTCGTTTAGAATTTTGTCTTTTTGCACAAGTTTTTGGTCATTTCTTTGTATACAAAGTCGAAATATATATCGTTTGAATGAGAGAAAGTAGTGCTATCTATACATAATTATAACTTTTTCAAAAACTAAAATCCAATGATTTTATTGGTTAAAAAATAAATATAGAAAAATGTACTACATTTTATTATAAAATCATTAATAGTGAGTTGAACCACCTTTGCTCTTGATGACAGCCTTGATTCGGGCAGGCATACTATCAATATATTTCTGGCACTCTTTTTCTGTTATTTTGTACCACTGAATGTTAATACGCCGCTCCAATTCTTCTTTTGTAGAGGGCCTAGTGGGATACTTATTAAGACGAAGCTTTAGGAGATGCCAGACATGTTCAATGGGATTAAGATCGGGACTTTGGGGTGGCCAATCCATAACTTCGTCTAGGTTAAACCCATTGTCGGTGAACCATTGTTTAGTAATGCCCGATGTATGCGGTGTTGCTCTGTCTTGTTGAAATCGCACATTAGATGGTGTCTTCCCAAAGTGCTCAAGAGTGTCGACCAATGATGTCTTCAAAATATCGACATACAAGTCCGAGTTTACTGAGCCTTCAATAATGGTAGCACTACCGCGAAAAACTTAGCGGAAATGCTCTAAAATAGGTGTTTTTGTTGGTGCTTTTTTACAGCCAAAGTATTTGGAAAAGTTGGTGCTTTCGGTACAGGCTTCAAAATTAAAACACTCTAAATTTGGCGTCAATGCGCTAAGTGGTACAAATTGAAAATATTCCATCAACATTGCAGCACAAAGGTAAACCTTATTGAAAATAGAAACTGTTGTATAGCCGATGATATTTACTGCATTACACAACAGTTGAATCCTATACCGTGCAACGTTGTTCAGTTAAAAGACCAATAGTTGCTCATGGGGATTATGACATTGGAATGATATGGTTGGTGGATCTTTATTAATAGAATGC